TTCCCACCATGCAGGACAGCTGCTGGTACGTGGCTGTGCCTTATGAACTGGCCCAGAGGGAACTGGACACACAGATTGCTCTTCTGTGCCAGGATTTTAAAACTTCTTGTGTAACCATCTAGGTCATGACCAAGCAAAGGTGTTTATGTGGGTTTGTGCAAGAGCCCAGAGGACTAGGATGGGAGTCTGGTGTGAGGGAAGCAACAATGGCTGGTTCATGAAGGTGCCAGTGCTGGAGGAGCTGCATCCTGGAGAAGCATTGTGTTGTGCAGGGGTTCACCAGCAGACTGTCCGTCTGCGGTGGCAGAACAACCTGCTGCCTCTCTGGGTGCATCTCCTGGAGTCACCCCCCTGTCTTGACCCACTGGTTTTCCCCCCCAGCAATCCGCTTCGGGCGCATGCCAGAGGCAGAGAAGAGAAAGCTGGTGGCGGGTCTGACGGCGAGCGAGATCAGCTGCCAGAACCCGCAGGTGGCTGACCTGAAAGCTTTCTCCAAGCACATCTACAATGCCTACCTGAAGAATTTCAACATGACCAAAAAGAAGGCAAGAGGTATCCTGACCGGGAAGGCCAGCAGCACCCCAGTAAGTTCCCTCCCAGGGCAGGCGGGGTTGGCCATGGCCAGCACAGAGGGCTGTTCTCTGGGAGGTGCTGCACATCTCCCTCCTGCCATAGCTGTTCCACATGCACCAGTTCCCACCTGCAGCTAGGTGGGCCCTGCATGTCCTGCCCCTCGCTAGGTAAAGTCCCATTGCTGTGCAGACTTGTGCTGTGGTGGTGGGTGCAGATTGCCTGAGCATTGTCAGCCCCAGAGGCAGGGAACAGCACAGGGACAGGCAGGCAAACATGAATGTCCTGGGCAGAGCTGGCACCTCGAGTCCCCCCAGCAGACTCCTAACTTGCTTCTTGTTCAAGCAGCCTTTTGTGATCCATGACATGGACACCTTGTGGCAGGCAGAGAAGGGGCTGGTGTGGAAGCAGCTGGTGAATGGCATTCCCCCCTACAAGGAGATTGGGGTGCACGTCTTCTACCGCTGCCAGTGCACCACGGTGGAGACTGTGCGGGAGCTCACAGAGTTTGCCAAGAGCATCCCCAGCTTCGTAGGCCTCTACTTGAATGACCAAGTGACTCTGCTCAAGTACGGGGTGCACGAGGCCATCTTCGCCATGCTGGCATCCATCATGAACAAGGATGGGCTGCTGGTGGCCAACGGGAACGGCTTCGTGACCCGGGAGTTCCTGCGTAGCCTGCGCAAGCCCTTCAGTGAGATTATGGAGCCCAAATTTGAGTTTGCTGTGAAGTTCAATGCGCTGGAGCTGGATGACAGTGACCTGTCCCTGTTTGTGGCAGCCATCATCCTGTGTGGAGGTGAGTGGGTGCCCTCGGCCGTGCCAGAGTCAGGAAGAGTCCTCCTTACTTAGAGATGGGTCAGAGGGGGCTGTGGGAGCTGAGCTGCAGCTGTTCCTGAAGTCAGCCAGGGGTGTGTCAGGGGCACAAGAGAAGAACCGAACACTTCCAAAACCAAAGCTTCTCTGTGGCGGTGATGCCCGGCAAGCTTGGACCAAGAGCAAGGAGTGTAGAAGTGGCATCTCCTTCTCATGTGCTGCTGTGGGCTAGGTTGTCAAAGGGCACACTTCTCCCCTTTCTAGCTGATGAGGTTGGAGTCACAGTGGGTGGGATACAGTCCCCAGCTTCCTTTCCCCAGGAGGAGCGTGTGCTTTGGAGGGCTGCCCCATGACCCTGCAGCTGCTGTGCTTCCTCTCCACAGACCGTCCTGGCCTGATGAACGTGAAGCAGGTGGAGGAGATCCAAGACAACATCCTGCGAGTGCTGGAGTTTCACCTACAGGCCAACCACCCAGATGCCCAGTACCTCTTCCCCAAGCTGCTGCAGAAGATGGCAGATCTGCGGCAGCTGGTGACGGAGCACGCCCAGCTGGTGCAGAAGATCAAGAAGACAGAGACAGAGACATCTCTGCACCCGCTTCTGCAGGAGATCTACAAGGACATGTACTAAGGACCTGTTATTTATGAGAATGAAGCCATGGATTCCCATCAAGACTCTTTGTACAGAAACAAAGAAAACCCTTCCCTGTGTCTTCCATTTCTTCTACTGGAAACTCTTTTCTACGTGACCCTGACATACGGTACGTAGGGCAAGATGCTGTCACGATTTGCAGCTGCCTCCTGCTTGGCCAGGGCTTCCGTTAACACACACTAACAAATCTCCACAGCTGCTGTTTCCGTTACTGTGGCCCAGCTCCAGCGGCTCCCGGGGCCTCTGGAGCGGCCGCCCGGTTTACATGGCACAGGCAGTGGGTTCTTACAGCACCCCGGGTCCCCATGGTGGGAGGAGCTCTGGTCCTGAGGAGACCCGAGCGAGGTGCAGGGTCCGGTGGGACCAGCAGCAGCACTCACAGCGTGTCTGTATTTTCTTGTTCGTTTGCACTCCGAAGACATAGTCCTGAGCCGTGAAGTCTGGGACGGTTGTGATGTGAAAGGATGTTTCTCTCTTTCCCAAAGAAAAGCCAGAGTATTTGAACACGGGTAGGGCTGTCCTAGCAGGGACCCTCAGCAGCAGCCCCCTGTGCTGTGCAGTGTGTTCCTGTCTCCCAGAGGGACTGTGCGAGCTCTGCCTTCCTGAGTGCTGTGTGGGAACCTGTGCTCCTGGCACCCTGATTGCAGAGGAAATGTGTTCCTTGGCACCTCAGTATGAGAGGAGGGATGGGGAGGTGGGAGGGAAAGGATTTGACTCGTTAAAATTCACCTTCACAGCAGAGGCTGGAATTTGTGGCTTCCACAGGCTGTTCTGCACAGCTATGAGTTACCAAAAAGGTCTGTGCAGGGTCAGGGGCTTTGGGCTGGTCAGGGTTTGGTGTCCTGCCTCAGTTTGCCCTGGGAAAGGGACCTGGATTGTCACTGGCTCTCTGCTCCGAGGGGGAGCAAGAGAATCCTTTAGTGCGTTGGTTGCAAAGAGCTTTACAGCTGTAAACCCCAGTATAAATGCCAAGGATTTATAAACTGGGAGGGAGCGGGTGGGATGCTCACAATGGGCAGGAGCTTCCCAGAGAGCGCAGCCAGGTCAGGGAAGCTGCCAGTCCTCCTCTGCCACTGTCCCGAGAGCTGGGACAGCTCCAGGCTTCAGGGTCTGCCTAAACCCAGCACCGTTTTGGGACTTTACCTCATAACTTCTCACAGCTGTAGTGAAATGCCATAGTGCTGCCTGGGCTGAGCTGGGCTGGGCTGGGCCCCCAGTGTGAAGGGCTGCATCACCTGAGCTCGAGGGCAGAGGATGGACCCGGGAAGGGCTCAGTTTCCCTCTCAGGATGATGGTGTCTGACCTAAGAAGTAGCACTTACCTGTCTGCAGCTCCTGGTCCTGTGTGTCCTGAGCAGCCTTATTAAAATACTGAAATCCCCAAGGAGGGGTCGTGGGAGCAAATTAGTCAGTTTTATTTTACTTTCCTCATCTTCAGGGTAGCAGATTTCCCTGGTGCAATAATTCCTTTAAAAAACCCTAAGGGGAAGAGCACTGGGCTTCCCCACCCCGTCACAGGGCTGGCGATGGTCAAACCTGCCCCTGCTGCCACACTCCGGCCCCTTGCTGTGCCTCAGTTTCCCTGCCCAGCCCCTCCCCTCCCTACCTTGCAGGGCCGTTAGGAATTACCATTTCTGAAGCACTTTGAAGCCCTCTCGGGGTAGGCACTGGAGATATGCGTGTGCTGGATGGAGCCCAGGGGATTTGCCCATCCCAAAGCCCTGGTGGCATCCCCACCGCAGCCACATGCAGGACTTGTGCCCATCACCTGGGGAACTTTTTGCTCTTCCTTCCTCAACAGTGTAACAACCCTCAAACTGAAATGTATATTTTTGCTAGAAGTACAAACCTCCAAGTGTTTTTAATAATATAAATAGTGTCCACAAACTGACTTGACTTTAAATAAATCTGAACTAAATATTTAAGAACCTTTTAGTGTCCAGCCTGTCTTTGTGGGATTTCTCTTGGCAGCTGGGGGGCTGCCCATGGGAGGGTTTCCAGCAGAGGTGATGGGATTTGCTGCATTTTTTGTGATTTTCCAGGAATTTGCCATGATTCCCAGGCCTCCATTATTCCCAGATCTCATAGCTCCTGTGGTTTTCTTGCCTGCAAACTAAAGGCAGCAGAAAGAGCCATTTCTGAGCAGGGTCCCAGTCTCAGAGCTGGGTGCTTCCTGCCCCAAATGCTTGCAGGTGGAGCTGGGCAATGAGCTCAGCCCAGCCAAACCCACCCCAAGATGGGCAAGGATGGGCTCTGGGGCAGCTGGGCCATGTTCTGGCTCTGGGCTCTGCCCTTGGCTGTGTCTGAACACCCAAGAGTTTGCAGAGAGCAGCTGCAGACCCCCAGACTTCCCTCTCCCCAGTTTGAGTGCCCCTGGGAGAAGCTGGTCCATTGTCCCCCACCTCTCCCAGGCATCTGGGGATCCAGGGAGCCGTGGTGCTGCTGGGCATGTGATCCAGGGTACCTGGCTGGGGACCTTGTATGGTTTAACCCAGCAGGCAGCAAAACATCACCCAGCTGTTCACTCCCTCCCTTCCCAGTGAGATGGGGGAGAGAACTGGGAAAAAAGTGAAATTTATAGGTTGAGATAAAGATAGTTTAATATGACTGAAAAAAAGGAAATAATAATGATAAAAGAATTAGAATATACATAATTTAGTGATGCACACTGGAGTGGTGCCCCCCGCCAGGCTTCTCACTTCAGGAGCAAGAGGAGCTGGAAAGTCCTTGACTCAACGTAAACAAAGCTCCCAAAGCCGAGTGCTATCAGCCCGGGCTTGTCCGGGCTTGTCTTCCGCCCAAATCGCAGCACGGCCCCCAGGGGAGAATTAATCCCATCAGGACTCACGACACACCTGAGGGCTAAAGAATCCTGGGAAGTAACCGGGGAAGTTCCCCTCTCGGCCGCCGGGGAACAGATGGAGCCGGGCTCGATGGTGGTGTCTGGGACGTTAACGGCCAGGGGGGGCTGCCTGAGACCCCTGTGCAGGTAAAAGGCTTGGGGTCGGGAGGGCTGGGAGCAGCTTTGGGGGGAGATAGGCTTGAGATGGGGCCACGAGTCCCTCCCTGTGGGGACAGAGAGCGGATTGGGATGGTCTCGATCCACCCATTTCCCCGAGCAGCTGCCCCGCCTCCGCAGCGGGGGACCCCAGAAACACTCCAGCCAGGCACCTCCTTCCTGTCAGCCACAAACCACGGACTCCTTGCCGCTTTCCATGGCTGCACAGGGAGCCAGGGGCTGCCCCAGCCCTCAGGACCCCTGGTCTGCCCTGGGAGAGCCCCAGGCCAGCCCAGTCCTGGGCTTATTTTGCTTTGCAATTAACCAGGAGAGGAGGCTGGATGGGGCTGGGAGAGCATTGGCTCCCCCTGGGCTCTGCCCTTGGCAGGGGCTCCTGAGCCCAGACACCACGAGGGGCTCCTGCACGTTATGGCCCCACCCAGACAAAGCTGGGACCCGGAGGGGTGTCAGGGTGGCTGGTGGAGCAAGGTTGGAGTGGGGTCTGACCCCAACCATGCGGCTCCTCTGGCCAACAGGAATTTTGCCCGTGGATCCTGTCGATGGGGCCAGAGCTGCCGCTTCTTACATGACAGAAACTCAGCTCAGATCTGCAGGTACTTCCAGAGTGGGTCTTGCAGCTACGGAGAGCAGTGCAGGTAAGGGGCAGCGAGCAGGAGTCTGATGCCCCAGGGATGGGCTGGGAGCCAAGAGGAGTCATGCTGGGCTGATGGGACTCTCTGTCTGTTTGTCTCTGGGCTCCTCCAGCTACCAGCACATCCAGGAGGAGCTGGTGCCGTCCCGCCATGGCCTGGATCCCTCCATGCCCCCCTGCCGCTGGGGCCCGGAGCCTGGCACTGTGCCCATGGCCACGGCCCAGGGCTGGGTGGGACCCCAGCGCACCTCAGACTACCCTGCCCCCAGCACGACACATGTGGCCTTCAAGTCCCCAAACATGGAGGTTGAGGTGGAAGAGAAAGACAAGAAGAACGTCGCAGCACCTGGTAACATCAGTGGAGAATTTGTCCCCGCACATGCTCAGCGTGCCTCAGGTAGGTGTTAGGCTGCCCAGAGGACCAGTGGGGCTGAGGAGACTGGAGTGGTCACAGTGGAGCAGCCTGAGCATGTTTCTGCCCATGACCAAAACCTTGGCCAAGCTGGGGCTGTGGAGAGCTCTCCAGGGGCCCGTCACTGCTGAGGCTGCATGCTCTAAGCAGCCTGCCTGGCTCTCTGATGGTGGGGTGGGATGTGCTTTTCCCCTCTAAGAGCTCTCCTCCTGCAGGCTCCCAGCTACAAGGGCTGGCACTGGATGCAGACTCCTCTGACCCCAGAGAGACAGTGGTGGAGATGGTGACGGGGACTGACCCTGCAGAGGTGGGTTTGGGGGTGTCCTGTGGCCGGGCACTCCCCAAGGCCAGGGCATTGATGGAGCTGGGGCGTTGCCATGCTTTGCTTCTCTGCGTGCAGGTCTCTATGGATCTGGGTGCTGCGGCAGCCCCAGTCCCCACCGAGGCACTGAGAGCCCAGAGTGAGGCCGTGGTGTGTGGCATCTGCATGGACAGGGTGTACGAGAAGCCGCTGGCGGAAGAGCGGCTCTTTGGGATCCTCCCGAACTGCAGCCACGCGTACTGCCTGGGATGCATCCGCAAGTGGCGTCGCAGCCGGGACTTCCAGAGCACGGTCATAAAGTGAGTGGGGATGGGGACAATGGGGAGTGGTCACCATCACCCCTTCTGCACCCTGAAATCCTTCCTTAGGTCTGGTGATGTGACTTTGCATTGGCACGACTTTTCTTTGAGAACACGTCGTTGGGAGTAGGGATGGGGATACTGGATGAGGCCATGGCAGCAGGACCACCCTGCATGGGTGCTGAGCCTGTACTCCCTTGCTCCCTTTTTGGGACACCCATCTGCACCCATTGCCTTCACCCAGGGCCTGCCCAGAGTGCCGGATCACTTCCAGTTACTATATTCCCCACAAATACTGGATCTCGGATGTGGGTGAGAAGGAGAAGCTCATCAGAACCTTCAAGGCGCGGACGGGGTGAGCGCATGGAACTGTGGGTGGCAGGGCTGTGGGCTCTGTGCTGCCCCAGGAGCCACACTCACAACTGTGCTTGGAATCCCACAGGAAAATCAGGTGTAAATTCTTTGTTCGGAACCATGGCCACTGCCCGTTCAGGTCCGACTGCATCTACCTGCACGAGCTGCCCACCAGCCGGCTGCCACGGCACAGACAGCAGCGGCTGAGGATGCCCACTGTAAGTGGGGTGGCAAGTCCTCAGGCTGGGCTGGGTGCAGTGCAATGGGAGACCGGGGCTCATCCTCCTGTGCTGCAGGAGTTCAACCCTTCTTCCTCGGAGAGCTCTGGCGAGGAGGATGAGGAGCTCTGCATGCTCGACTGGGCTCTCACCCTGACTGTGCTGGAGACGGAATTTCACTACTCAAGTTATGGCCACGAGATGCTTCTCATTGACTTCAGCAACTCTGACTGAGCCCTTGGGGGTGACACTGGGCCCAGGTGATGCTGGTGGCATCTCTGGAAGGGGGAATCATCTGCTTTTGACTTCCACCATTGTTTTGGAGTGGCTCTGGGGATAGGCGGTGTGGCAGGGATGGGGTGGGATGGGGAAGCGGTCTGGCTGCCATTTATCGGGACGCCGGGAGTGACTCAGGGCGGTGGGGCACAGTCCCCCTGCTCTTGCCCTCGCCCCCTCAATGGGAGACCCGCGGGTGCCGGGCGCGGGGCTGGGCTGGGGGTTTAACGTGGGGATTTAAGGCCCACGGGCCGGGGCGTGCACTGTTTTATACTAGTTTTAGCCAAATTCGGGAATTACGAAATAAAACGCGTACGTAACATCCCGGTGCCGGGTGTCTCTGTCCGGGGGCTGGATGGCTCCACCCCCGGGACGGGGCGGTTTTTGGGATTAGGGACATTTGCATAATGACTCGTTTGCGCGCCGTTCATCAGCGTTTCCCGGGTGGGGCCGGAAGCGGCGCGTTCGGGCCCGGGACAGCGGGGAGAGCCCGGCGGGGCCACCCAGGAGTGTCGGGGGCTGCCCCGGCTGTGCCCGGGGCACGGCAGTGACCGGGGCAGTGCACGGGGGGCGGGGGGAGCTCCCCCGGGAGGGCAGCGGGGACTGAGCTGGGGATGGGGGAGCTGCCGGGGAAGGGGTGTCGGAGGGCTCCGAGGCGTTCCCGGTGCGACCCCAGTGACGCTCCCGCATCCTCGGGCGGGAAGGGCAGGTAAGGGCAGTCCCCGAAACTGGCGCCGGGGTCGGCTCCGAGCACGGCTGGCTGGGTCCTGGTACCCCCGCGCCTCTCCCCGTGTGACCCGTGCCCGGCTCTCCCCGTGTCTCGCAGGCGGCTGTGCAGCCCCCAGCAGCGATGGAGCCCCGCTGCCCGCCCTGGCTGCAGAGCTGTGCCCGGCCCTGCCGCCTCCTGCTCCACGCGCTGGGCTCCGGCCCCGCCGGGGCTCTCGCCGCCCTCCGGATGCTGCAGCGGGACCAGCCCCGCGAGGGACCGGGACGGGCGTTCCCCTGGCAGGCCCTCACCGCAGCCCTGTGCGCCGAGGAGCCCGTGCTGGAGGAGCCACAGGGGGTCCTGGCTGTGTGAGTCAGATGCGTTTCTAAACCTTGGTGTTTTGTGGGAGGTTTGGTGTGTCCGGTGCCTAATTTGGGACCGCGTGTCCACTTACCCCAGGGCAGCGGGCCGTGCCTGAAGCTGGGATCGTAGCAGTGGCCAGCTGGTCTCCCAGCTTGTGTCTGCAAAAGCTGGTGAAGGCATTAGTTGCTACCTCCTCTTGCTCCATAGTGAGACCCACAGGGCAGCTTGGAGTCAGGGCGAGGTTTGCTGTGACAAGTTGCCTTTCCTTTTCTCCCCTTACCCAGCAAGCCACGGCTGCTGCTGCTGCCCATCATGTGCCAGAGAAACTTCTTCTCCCTGCTCCTCGTGATGCAGGATGCAGTGCCAGGGGGCTGCCTTGGCCAGCTGCTCCGGGCCATGGAACAGGATTCCCATGTGGATCCCTGGATGCGGATGCTGGGGGATCTGCTCCAGCAGGGACCAAGAAGAGAAGAGCACTTCCCATCTCCCACTCCACTCTCTTCTACGTGCCAGCAGCAGCTTAGGTGCCTGTGCCAGAAAATTGCCCAGAACAAACCCGAGGGGCAAAGGAAATGGAACTGGTGCTTTAGTAAGCAGCCTGGTGCCCCTGGAGATCTGGCTGACTCTGTGCCTCAACGTGGAAAGCGCAAGAAAGTGTCAGAGGAGGGAGTGGAGTTGATCAGTGACAGAGAGAGGAAGAGGTTGCTGCTGGAGGAGGTGGCATTTGACCCTCTGGGACCCCAGGAATGTGGGGATGTGACAGGGATAGAAGAGGAGGTGCCTGAGGAGCCTTCAGTGGATACACGTGCTGAGAGCACAGAGGGGGCTGCTCCAGACAGCTCCCAGCAGGACGCAGTTGGGGAGCTCAGGAAGAGTCCCAAAACAGAGCTGGCAGCAGAGGCCCAGTCCTTTCTCCAGGTACTGGGTAGGGTTTGCTCTCCCCTTCCAGACAGTGAGCCTTTACAGCCTGATTCCCCTTCCTTCATCTCATTTCCTCAGGTGCATGGACAGAAGCTGAAAATGCTGCTGCTGCAGGAGTCCAGTGTAAGTGGTTGCTTCTGTCTGTCTGCTGGAGCAAATGATCTAAATGGGCTCGTGCCAGGGCCTCAAAAGGGGTGAGAAAGGAGGTGGGTTTCATGGGACTGACTGTACAAGGATAGAAAGCCCTACTGCCACCTCCTCTGGGCTGGGATACCGACACGTGCCTGCACCTCGCAGGGGTTGCTGTGTGAGGGGCAGCCTGTGGGCACAGCGCTGGCTAACGTGGGAGGAAGGGAAAATCCTTAGAGCCATATATTGTGTGTTGATTTATTTGGTGCATTACTTAGGACTGTTTTCCCTCCAGCACTCTGAGCTGAGCATCCCGCCTGAGCTGTGCATCCTGAACAACTGCTCCCCCAGCCAGGTGAGTCTCAGCATCCCTGCTGCAGCCGCCAGTATTGCGGAGGGCCTGCTGCCATCCCTAATGTCCCATCCCCTCTGCCATCCCCAGCTTGAAGGACTGTGCTCCTTCCTCCAGCTGTCTGTGTGCCCAGAGCCCTCCCTGGGGCGTTTCTGCAGGTGGCTGCTGGCTCTCACCCCTGACCTCAGCTACACCAGTGCGGCCATCCTGGCAGAGCAGCTCTTCCTCAGGCGAGTACGTGCAAGGGCAGCAGAGGTTTCCTGCTCCCTGTTTCCCCTCTCCACCATCCCCACCTCCTGCCTTTTCTGTCCCTAGGTCCTGTCCCTTACCCAGCCGCCTTCCCGACACCTCATGGCTGCCCTCGCTTCATTTTGCTCCAAGTATTCCCAGCCCTTCTGCCACGTGCTGGTGGCTGCGATCCTGCAGGAGCCAGGGGAAGGTGCGGTGGGCTTGTGGGAGACATGGCTGTGGGAGCTGGAGAAGGGCCCCAACTGCAAAGTGCTGTCTTCTGGGAGGCATTTGTCACGTGGAACATGTGTTAGGATCCATGGAGGCATAGGGCTGGTTTTACCTGGGCGAGCAAACACTTGTGTTAGAATGGGAGATGGGTTTACAGATGCCTGAGATGGAGAGGGAGGGGAGGCCAAGCTAGCTTCCAGCATCAGTTTTCCCAACTGCTGGCTGAATGCCTCTCCTCATGCATGAACCCCTTTTCCTAGGGACTGGTGCTATTTAAACCCTGAGTGCAGGTGGGCAAAGGAAGCAGGATTATCCTGAACAATAGAACGGGGCACTATGTGGTTTTTGCATGTCCTGACTGACACATACGCCTGTGTGAAGGGCTGCTAGGAAGAGCTGGGCACATCCCTGTGGATTTGGCAGCCTTTGGAGGCTCTCCCCATCTGACTTGCCCTTGCAGGTGCTGAGCAGACCAAGCTGGTGTGTGAGCTTGTGGAGGAGTGCCTGGAGCCACACTGTGTGCAGCTGGTGCTAAGGTGAGGGATTACAGGGTCAGCAGTGCTGCTTTGGCCTCGTGCCTGCCTGGATGGGTCAGCTGGCTCCAGCCACTCGGGAGCACCAGTGAGGCCGTGAAGCAGCGTGTCTCCTCTTCACTGTACTTTTAGCCAAGTCTTGGAGATGCCTTTGTCAGAGAAGCTCCTGCCGGTAGTGCAGGCCGTGCTGGGGCGGCAGGTGAGAGAGGCCCCTTGTCCCCCAGGTTTCCTTGCTGACTCTGGCAGTGCTGGAGCAAGGACCAGTTCTCCTACCCTGTCCTGGGTTTCTTCCAGGAGGTGCTGCCCCCGGAGCTCTTGGATCTCCTGGTCCTGACTCTGTGCCGGCGGGCCTCAGCCTTTGCCACATCACTTGACTATGCCAAGCTGGTGACGGCCCTGCTTACCATGTACCAGAGCCAGGTGAGCGAGACCAGGCTCAGGTCCTGCAGATGGGCTGGTGAGCCTGCAGCCAGGGCTGCAGCTGGCCTGGGACCTGGTCCAGGGGTCTCAGGTGGGCTCCTGGCAGGGCAGCGCTCCAAGCTCATGCTCTCTTGATCCCAGGTCACCCCAACTCACCGGAGCAGTCTGGCTGCCGCCCTGGATCAGAGCAATGCAACTCTGAAGAAATCACTGCAGGCTGTGCTGGAAGGGGCCAGATGAGGTGGGTGCAGGGGTCTCTGTCATGGGGGATGACAGGCTCTGCACTCTGGGCTGCCCCAGCGGTGGGAAACCAGCAGGCGCCACAGATGCCGTAATGGAGCCGTGCTGGCACCGTGCCGTGGTGTGGATGGCGGTGGGCTTCCCTGTTCTTGATTTGTGTTCTTCATTTCTCAGGTGACCACCAAAGGGAACTGCGAGGTGACAGGTTCCTTGCATAGAGGACGCTCATTGCACAGTGGCAGCTGCAGCCCCCCCTTCACAGGGTTCCCCCCAGTGAGGTGGGACCCCACAGGTGGGGTCTGTGCCCCACAGAGCACCCAAAGCCTCACGGCAGCATCTGATGTGAGGGGACTATCACTGGGCGGCGCCATCCCAGCCTCCCACATCCCCAGAGGGCTCTTGTTTGAACAATTAACGTGTTTCCAGGCGTTTCTGTATGTGCTCTCCCTTCGCCCCGCCGCACTCAACATGGCGGCCCGGCCCCGCCGCACTCAACATGGCGGCCCCGCCCCGCCGCACTCAACATGGCGGCCCCGCCCCGCCGCACTCAACATGGCGGCCCCGCCCCGCCCCTCCAAGGGTGCCGGCCGGGTGGGGCTGTGGGGGCTGAGTTCGCAGATCCTGAGTTATTATTAATGTCCAAAACACATCGCTGAACCAGGACGGATATTGATTTGAGGCTCTGTGAAGCTAATAATTCTGGACTTAATTCAGTATCCTGATTTTACGTTGTCACATCCCAAGGCAGAAGCCCTGCACACGTCAGCGTTCCTCTCCGAGGGCTGGGCTGGGTTCGGAGCAGTGTCTGCTGCGCTGTGTGTCTGATCGGCTGGGATTTACAGATTTCTGGGTTCAGGAGAGTGGGATTTAACTGAAGAGCTGGGAAACTTGAATTTTCTGCTTTAAATCCACATTTTTTTCCTGTTTGCTAGGGACCCTGCTGTGTGTGACACATTTCCGGGGATGATGACACTTCCCGTTGCAGGGTGTTTAATGATACTCTAATAAAAAGTGCTTCTATAGTGTGATTGTGCCCAAAGTTCTATCCTGTATCCTTGAAAATACCTGCTGGAAACCTCATTTAGGCACCTCCTGGTCTGGGAGGTGGGAAGAAAAGGATGGGAGAGAGTGGATGGACTCAGGTACTGCTAGGGTTTTAATGAAAGTTAGAAGTGTTGCATACTTCTGGAGCTATTTAAAAATCCATAAACATTTACATCTACAAAGGGAGAAAGGGAACTAAAACATGTAGGTGTGACATGTGACTGCTTTAAGTTTGCTCATTTAGATCCCGCCAGAGGAAGGAAACTCTGAAGCATTAGGTGATGCTCTTAAGGCTGAGAGCACAGATTTCTTTATATAAGAATCTCTTAAGCTATTTTAGGTGACAATGGACTGATGAGGCTTCAAAGTCTGCATTAGCTGGAGGACAGAAACCTCCAGGGAGCTGAATTCTTGCTGTGTTTGCATTCCGCTGAGTTAGTGGCTCAGTAAAGTGAAGCTATTGTAGGGCTGCCCAAAATACGACATAAATAGAAATTGTGCCATGATCATCAAGGTCTGAGACTGCTGTTCTGGCTTTATTAGGTAGCAGGCTCTGGTCTTTGCAGTTTCCCTGCAGAGCTTCTACCAAGTGACCTCAGTGTCATTGTCCCCACTGCTCCATCTGGCCGTGGCTGTCGGTCATGTGCAGATGACCGAGGACAATCTGATCTCTGAAATTCATGGCAATCAGCTTCACGGTGTCATTGCTGAGCACGCACATGCCGTGTGTACCTGGAGCTCCGTGGGGAAGCCTCGGTGTCTCTGGACAGTGACAAAGGGTTGGAAATTTTCTGGCCACAGCACACGGCTGCTCCCCAAGGGGTGTCTGCTTTTGTAACTCCTCACTGTTATCTTTAGGCAGTGGGCTCATTGTGACAGTTCCTGGCTGCTGCTGCTGCATTGCAGCTTGTGCCTCCAGCTTGTGGGGACACACTGGGAGCTGTGCTTTGGGCCAGCTTACGTGGGTTTTGCAAGAAATGGTAGTCAGGAAGGGATCAGCTCTGCAAACTGCAAGGGGGATTCCTGTTCTGCTGGGAAGCATTACTCTGGCTTGTGGACAGAGCCTTCTTAGCCCTGGTTTTGCTCTTGGCTGCAGCTTATCATGTGCTGTGGATTCCTCTAGGGTGTACGTGCAGATAACAATTGTGTAAGGAGAATTTGGAGCAAACCCCAGAGACACTAAACATGCTGGTGATAGACTGCTTGTTTATGTGGCAGTTGGTAGCACCCACACAGAAAACCTTACTTTTGACTCCTCTTGACCCTCAAGAACTTTAAAATCCAGCTTGAACAGTACAAAGAGGTGCATGCAGCATAAAACATCTATCATATCTGTCAGGTTTTATAATTTAGCAGAACCTTATCCAAGGGTGGAGGGAGCACCAGGACTGGCTTTGCCCTTGTCTTGATTTAATAGCAGTATTGGTGAAGAGAATGGTCTGAAGCTTTGTCCAAGACCTTTCCTAGGCTGGATGTAGAAGGTATATAAATATAGGTGTATAATTTTCAGCCAGTCTACTTGTTATATTTGACAGTGGTTCCTTATCTGCTTCCTCTTCTGTAGAGATTTACTTCCTTCATAGTTCAGTGGGGAATTCCCTTTTTGGCCTTTGATGCAGCTTTGCATGGAAGCTTGGGGGCCGTGACACCCAGATGTGAGGCTGAAGTGCTCTGGGGAAGGCTCAGCAATTTTATTTTTTTTTTAATTTGGAATTTAAAACTGAATAAAAAGAACATTTCTCCTTCTCATCCTTTTGCCAACATCATAAGAAGAGAACCATGTTCTCCCTTGGGTAGTCTGGTGGCTGCTGAGGAGCCAGGGCCCCAGAGAGGTGACTTTGTGGTGGGGCTGGGCTGTTGTTTTACTGTTGGGCCCCTGCACAGACCTAATAAATCATGCTTGCCACATCAGCAGGAGCAGCCAGTGTCGGTCTGAGCAGCTTTCTTCCAAGAAGTGGATAATCCAGATGACCAGAGTCTCTGTGATCTGAGCTGCAGGTTCAGCTCAGCTGCAGCAGAGCCCTGGGAGATGCTGCAGTAGCTGCTGCGCTGCCGGAGGGACCTCGCTGGAAGGAGAACGGGGGGCAAAGCCAGATCCCACAGCCACGTGCTCACCTCCCTGGGCTGCAGAACTCCCAGCAGGGTCTTGTTCATTCCCACTGGACAGGTCTGTGTGAGGGGAGCTGGGCTGCTTTTTCTTGTTTGAGGCTCTGTGATAACCTGGGTTGCAATCACGATTTAGATGCTCTAAGGCTAAAAATAAGAATAGAAAAAAAATCCATGGGTGCTTTTAGTAAATGCTTTAGAGGCTGTTTGAATGGGATGGTTTTGCAAAGAGGGGCACTGCCTCTAATTAACCCTCCCCAGAGCGTGGGAGGGAATAGGGGAGCTGGTGTGGTGGTGTCCATAGGTCTGTGTCCCTCATGGAGCACCTTGCTGGAGCTGTGGACCTGCCAGGACACGGGAGCAGAGGCCACAGAGCCTCACCTGCTGCTTGGTGCCAGGCTGCTGCTCCCGGGGAGGAAGCCAGGGCTCTGTGCAAAGGTGTCTGTCCTCCACCCCCCTTGTTTTGTAACCTCTGGCCCTGGGGCCACACCCTGGCCTCTTGCTCTGGCAGGCAGGGCAGAGGCTGGGCCGGGTCTGCCTCAGGGCTGGGAGATGCTGTTTGCCCTCTCAGGGGCTGCACTGTTCCTTGGGGTACATCAGGGTACCTTGGGCACAAAGGGGGGGGGCAACAGCAGCTGCCTGCTTAGCCTGGCAGTGCTGAGCATCGAATCTGACTCTGGGTAAGCTCATTAGGGGAAGAAAGCTGCTTTAGAGGATGTGATGGATTTGAGTAAAGTGATTGGGCAGGGGAAGGGGCAGTGGGGTGATGGCTGGTGAGAAAGTAGGACTGCTGAGAGGAGCAGGAGGAATGGGGGGCCTGGGCAGAATGGCTTCCCTGCATCACCTAATACAGGGGTTCCTAATCAGCCGTCCTGGTCTAGCCTGGTGCTGAGTCCCCCATGACAGCATGGGGGGATCCCCCGTCTCTGTGGAGGTCCTGAGTGCCACCACCCTGCCCTGAGCCTCCTGCTCAGGACTGCTCTGCTCTACAGACACCTGGCACAGAGGGAGCAGTCGTGGTCTTTCCCAGCTCTGTCCCCTCCTAAGGGTGGGTGCAGGAACCTGGTGCCTTTCACCGAAAGCAGAGGTCACCTGACCACCTGCAGCCCCCTCCACCCGCCCAGCGGCACAGGGAGCTCCCGGCTGCTCTTGTGCATCTCCTTTAAAGGCCTTCTCTCATCTGGCTTGTCCCTGGCAGCTCCCTCTGCTGCAGATGCAGTTGCTCTCCCCTGCGGGGAGGCTCTGCTGCTGGCAGCTTGCACCGTGTGGGGCTCCAGCACCCCCCGACCCACCATCTGCCGGCCACGCCACGTCCCCTGAGCCCCTCCTGGCTCTGACTGAGTGCTGGGTCTGAGCTGGGTGGCCCCAGCATCTGCCTTCGGCTGCTTGAGACAAGTTCAGGCAGGTAATGACCCGGGGAGCGTTTGGTGAAGTCGCCAAGCTGAGGGAAAGCGCTGGGTTTGGTTCTCCAGGGGGTTACTTCTGCCAAACCAGCCGTGTGCCTCTGTATTGCCATCCGTAAAACAAAGATAGGAGTGAGTGTCTGTGAGGCTGTCAGAGCTGTAGTGAAACAGCAGGGTCTGCCATGGCTGTGGTGGAGCAAGCGCTTTGCAGCAGGGACCAGCCCTCCAGAGGACTCTGATGCTGGCTGGTGGGATGAGTTTGGCTGATGCCCAGTGGCTGGGGGCTCCTGAGTCCCTGGGGGGGTGAAGGTGTCAATGACAATTCCCAGTGTATGGGCATGAAATGGGCTGGCTTCGATAGATGCAAGTGCTGCTTGCTTTTACACCTTCATCAGGCTCTGATGGCCCTGCTCGATGCTGGGGTGACCTAGACTGAGCTTGGCCAAGGCTTTGCACAGGTATGGGGGGCTTCAAGCAGTCCCTGCTCTCTGTCCCCTTAGACTTCTGCTGTATTTCTTGTCCCGGCCAGAAAACTTCTCCTTTTGCCCCATATCTGCATGTTTGTGGGAACAGCCTCTGAGGAGATGTGTCCTGTGGGACAGTCCCTTCTGCACAGTGACTTTACCCTGGACCGGGAGAGGGACTCTGTGGGCTTTCTGCATCTTTCTCTAATTCTTTAAATGTTGTAAAACAGCTTAAATGAGTTGTCCAAGCTCCCTTGGACTCGGAAATCTTTCATATTAGTCTCTCTGGGAGCCAGTGTTGCAAGAAGATGCTTGGGGATTGCTCTGTCTGCAGCCTGGGGGACAGTGGGTCGCTCTCACTCTGCACTGGGTGCTCACACTGGTTGGTGGGTGCAAAGTTACCTCCCCCCACAGAGATGACCCACATCACAAGCCCCAGGCAAAAATCCACCCTCGGCGCTGCCCACAAATGGGACTTGTATTAAATTCCTCGTTTGCCTTGCACCATGCCCACCTGAATCCCACCAGCCTCCTCCTGAATCACAGTGGGCCTCCCCACCTCTTTTCCCACATGCCCCCATGCTAAGCAGAGGAGCTCGGAGCTCCTGCTGGGTGAGAAAATGCTTTAAAAATATAACGTTTAGAGGCGTTCTCCATCTGTGCACAGCTACTGCGTGTCTCTCATGATAGGTGTGCTGGTCCTGGAGCCTCTGTGCTCCACAAATGAAGCCACTCACAGGGACCTCGTTGGGAGAGGGGGAAGAGGAGGCGCAGGGACTGACCCAGGGGCGCCGGCGGCGGCAGCGGCAGAGAACGAGCTGCCGACCCGGCCCCTCACCCCGGAGGTATGTGCACAAAAGGTTCACCCTGTGGCTCTTGGGGTGCTGGCAAGGATGGGATGGGGATGGCAGTGCCAGGCAAGGGACCCTGAGCATCATTTTGGCACGGCAGCCCCTTCTCCTGCAGCCACTGCTTCTCAGTGCACGACCCCCAGGCTTGCCAGGAGGCGAGGGAGAAGCCCTGCTGTAGCCCTTTCCAGAGCTAGGGGCAAAGTTTGGGGGTTCAAACCCTTTCCAAGTTGTGTGCTGGGATCCAGCATGGTGCCACAGAGGGCTCTTTGCACATCAGCCCCTGTATCTCCATGCACTGGTAACCTGCCACCCTCGGCGGGCTCCAGCATCCCTGGCCCCACTGAGCAGGGATGCTACAGAGCTGCCAGACTTTCCTGCACCCAAGGCAGGGTTTTGGAGTGATGAGGCCATCCCAGTGCACTTTTAGGGGGGCAAAAGCATGCACCCAGACCTGCCATCCCCGGGGGGTGATGTGAGATGGTGCTTGGGCTCTGTGGGCAGCTGGGTTCGTTGTGGTGCTGGAAGAGGCCAGCTCGCAGTGAGGTCTGCTCGGCAGCCAGGGCGAGAAAAAAAAGACAGTGCTGAGGAAAAGCACGGCCGCGGGCCGGTGACTCATTGCTGGCTGGAAACGGCTTGGGCAGGCTCCTCGGTGGCGGCTCTGCAGCAGCAGCAGGAGTGGAGGGGGTTGCTGCACCCGTGCCAGGGAGAGCGGGGATGGGGACGGAGCAGGCTGTGGAGGATGCTCGGAAAGGACCCAGGTCCGGAGCAGCAACACCGAAGGGTGCCGTGGCAGCGGGGGGAGGGTGAGGGGTGGGATGTTGCCGATGCTTTCTGAGTTTCTTTAGGGTTCATCCAGGCTTCTTTCCACAGGGAGCAGCAGGCAGAGCTGTCCGGGCTCCCCACGTCTCCAGATGAAGGTAAGGGCAGCCCAGGGTGGGGATGGGGGCAAAATGGTGGGGTTTGCACCCTCCCTTCCTGAGCAGCAGGAGGGTGTCCCCTGGCCTGGCAGCACTTGCCTGCAACCCCTTCCAGCCCTGAGACCCCAACCCTGTCCCCTAGATCTGCCTCACCAGCTGTAACCCACCCTCTGCAGCTTGCCTTCCTCCCCCTGCCCTGGCCCAGCCTAGCAGCAGCTCCCTTAATCTCACAGGGATATTTGCAGGGCACCTGCCAGCTCATGTCCCCTGTGAGCCTGCAGGCTGCCAAAATGCCAGTGGTGTTTTCAGGACCCTGCTGCCCAGCTCCCACCACCCTTTCTGTCCCCAGGCAGGATGAGCAGTCCCCAGAGGCACCCAGACAGGGTTTTGGCTGGGAGCCAGCAGAGTGTGGAGCACGACAATGAGGTGAGAGGGAGGGGAGGTTAACAGGTTGGGGGGGCCCTTCCCTCCCCAGTTCCTTGGGCTCAGCCCCTTGGTGCTGGTCTTTTTGGGATGCCATGCAGCACCAGGGAGAGGTTTGTTCCGACAGCACCCTTGTGCCTCCCAGGTGCCAGGCAGGGACAGGCAGGAGCAGGCTGCTCACACCGGGGACAGTGACAGGACTGAAGAAGGTGGGTGAATCCCCATCCCACATCCCAGCTGAGTCCCTTTAGGGGAAGGTTTGAAGTAGCTGTGGATGAGTCTGGGAACAACATGATCTGATGGGGGTCATCTCACTTGGTGGGTACATGGGGAAGGGGAGGCTGGCCTGGGGGGACCTGAAGCCCCCCTGATGCTAGAGGAAGGACTGGGATGGTTCCACACCAGGGGCACCTGCTCCCTGCCAGGACAGAAAGGCAGAGGGAGGAGGGAAGGCCGAGGAAAAGTCTTCATGTCTGGTCTACTGTGGTGTCCCTGCCTCCCTGCAGGTGCAGAAACCCTGGAGGAGCCAGTGCTGAGTTTCCCCGGCGAGCTCTCGGTGCTGGACAGACTAGGCTTGCACAGGTAAGACCAGTGAGCACCTGCATCTCTCCAGGGGCTACCAGGGCACCACATGGTCCAGAGATTGGACTTTCCTCCTTTATCATTGCATAAGAGTTGTTGTCCAGGCAATGGGCACTTGGCTTCCCACTTCTGATGGTGGCTGGCACCCCTGGGGGCAGAACAAGGGCATTTTCAGCATGCAGCCCCCACGATGCCTCTGTCCCTGACAGCACTTCTTTTTCTGCAGGGTGGCTTTGACAGAGCAGGATCTGGAGGTGAGGGCTGCCAGGGGCTGGAGGGGGGCTAGGGAAGGGGGACATGGGGATGGACACCTTGCTGGCTCACAGTCCCTTGGCTGTGCTGCTCCTGGACACCCTTCAGGCACCGCAGTCCACTGGCAGACACCTTATAAACCCTTTCCCAGCAATGCTTTTGGCATTTGGAGGCAGCTGCATTTCCATGGCAAGATGAGTCTGTCCTCTGAGCACCCAGCAATCCTACAAAGTGCTCTGCAGCTGTTGAAGAGTGCCCTTAGCCGGGGAGCTGGCGGGAGCCACGCTAATAAAAATAATTTCCCTGCGAGTGCCAGGGCTGAGTCAGGCTCCACCATCAGCCAGGACCCGCAGCGAGGGCTGGCGTCTGCCCGGCGCGTGCTCTTGCCAGGAGGGCTCGGGATTTCCACGCGTTATCGGCTGCCTGGGAGACGTGTCTCCTCGGGCTGGCACCTCCAGGGACTGTCCCCAGCATGAGCAACATAACTGGTGCTGGGGAAAGGGAAGTGCTAAATGTCTTTAGCACTGCCCCGTTTGGTGGCACACTGTGAGGTCTGTCTGTGCCTCGAGGACAGCAGCACATTGTCCTGGTGGCTTCCTTTCTGCCCCATGTCCCATCTCTCCCCCCATTTCGCAGGCAGCCTTTGCCCACCTCGCGCTGGCTTTTCGCTGTGACATGTTCACCCTGCAGCAACGGGTTCAGGTGGAGAAACGGGCACGGGATGCAGCAGAGGAAAACATCCAGGAGGAGCTGGGGCAGTGCCGGGCTGCCCTGGAGGTAGGTGGGCACCAGGGCAGGGGGCTGGCATGTGCTGGGGACATCCAGCCTGGGAGGGGTTTGGACATCTCAAAGTCCCAGCTCCAGCAGCTCCATTCTCTCCCCCCGCAGAGGCTGGGTCCATCCTGTGCCAGTGTGGGCTGCAAGGAGATGCTGGAGCAGCTGCAGCACAACCTGGCTGTGCTGTCGGCAGCTGTCGAGCGGGCAACCAGCGCTGCGGAGAAGCTGGGGGCTGTACACCAGGTCTGTGCACAACCCTGTGCCAGGGCTAGGAGCGATGGAGGGTGCTATAGCTGGGCTTGGGGACCCGTCCCTGGGCTTACTGGGGTTTGTCCCTCCTCCTCGTGGTGCTGGCCTTGACCTCATGTTCACAGGTACCAGGCTGCAAGGGATCTGCCTGTCCTTGGGAGCAGGAAGGGGATGTATCTCCCTGAGCGGAGGCACTATGGGATGCACAGGGAGGGACTGGCAGAGACCTGGCTCCTTAGGGACCAGGAGATGGGGGCCCTAACCCGCCATCCTGCCTGGCTGCAGGAGGCCCGGATGAGCCGAGCAGCAGAGGTGATGGTCCAGCACGTGGAGAACCTGAAGCGGCACCACATGCGGGAGCACGCGGAGCTGGAGGAGATGAAGCGCCTGATCCAGCAAAACTCCCGCAACCGGCAGCTGGCAGAGACCCAGGGTGAGGTGGGCTCTGCCACGGGGGCCCACACGGGGTTTGCAAAGAGCAACCCTGCAGGATTTGGTCCCACACCCCTCCGGGGGGGTCAGTGTGACCCTGCACCACAGAGCCAATGGGTTGTGTGAGCTGGGGACCAGTGGTGGGGGAACAGCAGGGACCTGATGACAGATGCAAGGGGCCACTGTAACAGCAGACGCAGCGTGGGAGCAGCTGCTGGTGGCTGGAGAGCCACCCCCCCATAGCCCAGCTGGGAATGCGGGGCAGGGGGGCCCGTGCACACAAAGAACTCTCTGTCTCTGGACACCAAGCCCCACATGTGCCATTGCTGTGCACATGACCAGGTCCCCCTGCCCAGGGCACCCCTGCCACGCACAAAGCAAATGTCCAGGACAGCTTTTGATGGGAGGGAGGTTTGCGACCGCCTGCACATCAGCCCCATCTTAGTGCTGGGGGACGATGTAAGGTGGTTTCTCTTTGCTCCCAGATGATGTGGAGCCACGGCTGAGGCCTCACCCCCTGAAGCGAACTTTCCAGCAGGTAACTGGTCCAGTTCAGCCATCTTGGAGCCACTGCCTCCCAATGCCCTGCTGTCCTCCCTTGCCTGGCTGTCCCCATGCACCCCCTAGTCCCCAGGCAATGCCACTCTGGCTTGCTGCTTGCTGCAGGGAAGATGTGCTAGAAGTGCTGGGGATAAGGCAAAATGTAGGGGCAGCCTCAAAGCGCTGGGGGGAGACAGACAGGGTTTCCCGTGGCTGCTTGTCCAGGAGATCTCAGGCAAATCCCTCTGCATTGCAGGGTCATAGCTCGAGAACCACAGGCTTGGCTGTTCTCTAGCACCAGCTCGAATTCGGCACTGATTCCCCTCCAGCTCAAGAGGTAGGGGAGTGCTCGGGAAGGGGGTTAGGCAGCCCCACCAGCACAGCTTGTAGCAGTAATGACAGGCGCAAACCCCTTGGCTTTGACCTTCCCTCATCTCCCTGGCTTTCCGGTTTCCCCTCTTAGTGCCAGGACCAGTGAGAGCTGGCAGTGTCCCTTCTCCTCGGTGTCCCTTGCCTTTGCTGGGGAGGTGATAGGGAAGGAGGTGATGAGAAGCAGCCAATGTGGTGTTCACCCCCAGCCCCTCTGTTGCAGGGGTCTGCCCGCCGCAGAGTCAGCATCGCTGTCATCCCCAAGCAGCTCTTGGTAAGGATGTGCAGGGGGGACACACAGAGCTGTGCCCCGCTGCTGGGCATGTGTCCCCAGGCTCAGCACTACTGGGGGTCTGAGTCCCCACTGATGCTCCCACTTTTGGTGCCCAGCCAGGTGCCAGCCCCGACAGCCGAGCAGCCCTGGCAGGTGAGACGGAGCCAGAGGGGGCCCAGCGCTGGCCCAGCACCCAGAGGTAACTGGTGGCAGGGCACTGGGTGGCAGGGCAGTCATGGTACTGGCTGCTGTTGGCCCACGTGGGATGGCACAGACCCTGTCCTCTCCCTCCCCAGGAGTGAGCTGGAGCCACAGGGCCGGGGCAGCGCCACGACGGGGGAGCTGGTGGCTGAGGCAGATGGCAGAGGCTCAAGGGCAGGGGATGAGGAGCCGGAGCAGCTTGGGCTGACGTGAGCAGCACTGTGTGTGCCCAGCATTCCCCTACAGCTGCTGGACTCTCTGTGGTCCCCAGGTGGTCAGCACTTGGGAAGCAGGCTGGGGGATTTAGTGGTGGAAGGCCAGAATGTTGTCTGGCTGCCTCAGCCAGACCTTGCTGTGCCTCAGTTTTGCCCGTGCATTGCGGGTCACCCATGCCCTCCCCGGGCTTGTTGCATTTTGGTTTGTGGAAGGGCCACTGAGGTCTGGGGCTATGTTAAACGCCCTCCCCATCCCCAGCTGGGGTGGAGGTGGGATTTGCTCTCTCCCATGGATGACGAGTGTCCCCCATTGCCTTCTTCCCAGGTCCAAGGGATCCGCAGTGGAGCTGTGGCGGCCGTGGCTCTTCCTCCCGCAGCACTACTGGGTTTTCTTCTGGCTGCTTCTCCTGAGCATCGCCTTCCTCCTCCTCATCCGTGTCCTAGAGCTGCAGCGGCTGCAGTCTGCAGCATCGCCCAAGGCCTAGCTGGACCAGGGAGGGGAAGGCAGCTGGGAGGTGTCACTGCTCCTTCCCCATGCCATAAATCACCAAAACTCTAGAATAATAAAGTTAGAGGAAAAATGGGGGAATTGTAATGCTGGAGCAGGTGGAACACCCTGTGGTAGGATCTAAGGTATGGTTGGCAGCACCACATAAGCGTGAAGGGTTCAGGGAGCTGCAGCAGTCCTCACTGACGCCGTGAGTTTGCCTGTTCTCGGCACACTGAGGGGTGCAGGTGCATCCCCACACGTCCCCTCTGCTGGGGACAGACTGGGCTGCCCACAGCCATGGCATTTCAGTAGAGATGTGTCCCATGGTGCTGGCCACGTGCCCTCTGCCACCGCACGCCCTCGGTCCCTGCTGTGATTCAGATCTAATGCTCATTTGCTGCTGACTGGGGGATAATGCTGGGGCTGGAAGGAGCAAGTCCCTGTTCAGCCTTTCCCATGGCACCACAAAATGCTCATAAACAGAGGGAGCTATTTCCAACCACTCCACTGCATAGGAAAATGGCCTGGTTTGACTCAGATGCCCCATTTCCATGTCCGAGTGGCCCTGAAACTCAGGTGGACTTCACTGTGCCTGCACCCAGCAACTTTGTGTGCCCAAAACAGCCCAGCCAAGCTGTGCGGGGCCATGGCAGGGGGTTCTGCACCAGGAGCCCCAGGAAGAGGCCCGAGGGGGCCGCAGGAGGCAGGGATGGAGGGGTCACTCTGCTTGGGCAGTGCCACGGGTGACTCACGGTGGCCTCCGTAACCCACACCCCGTGTCCCTGAGTCACCGCCCCAGCCTCGTGGCAGGTTTGTCCCCGTGAGTCACAGGCCGTGAGCTCCTTTGCCATGACGGCCACCCCAGCACAGGGCAGGTGTCCAGCAGCACCATGAGGACACCAAAAACCCTAAAAAGCACCCGCTAGAAGTGATCTTCGGCGGCTCCACCCCCCTGGGAGCATTCCCACCCGGATGAACCCAGGTGGAAACATCATCCCAAAAGTTTCCACGTGAGTTGCGGTGGTCTGGGACACTGGTCGGGATCTGGAGCTTGCACTGGGCTAGACCCCCCGGTCCCGGGTTCCCCCATGCCTCCAGCTCCCTCCTGGCCAGTTTATGGCTGCGGGGGGAGCAGCACAGCGGCGGGGGCGGGACGTGAAGCGGTTTGGCTTCGTCACCCGAATCTTTTGGTCTGCTTTGCGAAAAGTCTGGTTTCTCACCCCAAAATTCAAAAAACCCTGGCGGAGTTGTGCTGTGCCGCCCGTCCCGCCGCTCCGAATCTCCCGCGGTACCGAGCAGCGGCACAAAGCGGGGGCCCGGGGGAGGGTCGGGCAGGCGAGGGGAGGGGAAGGCTGAGAAGGGGAGGGCAGAGGAGGGGAGGGCAGGGCCGGGCTGGCCGGCAGCTGCTTGCGAAGCCGGAGCTCGTTTCCTGCTCGCCCTCGCCTGGCTGCACGCAGCTCCGGTCCCTCCCCACGCCCCGGTCCGCGCCTCAGTTTCCCCCTCCGAGGGGCTGTGGAGGTGAGTGGGGGGTGGAGATGGGCAGAACATCCCTTGGCGGTGGGGGGTCAGAGCTCTGCTGCCCCCCAGCCCTATGTCCCCCCGCTCGGCTGCGGGCACGGTGGTTCCAGCATCCTGCCGCCGGTCCCCTCCGCCCGCCCTGCTCGGAGCATCGCTGCGCAAGGCGGGTGCGAAAACCGAGGGGCTCAGCCCCCCCGACCCCGTGTCCTGCGTGACCCCGGGATGTCGAACGGGGATGCTCCGTGTCAGGGAAGCGCTTTGTCTCCGCCTGCCCCCTCCCCGCAGCCTCTCTCGGGGACAGGGGTGTTCCCCTGGCTAATGGTCACTGCTCTTCCCCTCCAGCCCCTGAGTTCTGCTGCTCCCGGGACAATGGGAGAAGACAGCAGCCTCTGCTCATCCTCCTCCACTCCGTTCCCAGAACCACCAGTGCTCCCAGTGCTGAGTAGGATAGGGTGGGAAGAACTTTGCTGAGATCTATGGAGGGATGCTCCATGGCATCCTCGCGGGGATGACTGTGGTTTGTGGTGAGGGAGAAGCAGGAGGAAGAAAAGGACGTGGGGTGTGAAGCCTGGTTGTAAGCGGACTTCCCCTTTGTGCTGCAAAATTCAGCTGCAAAAGGCAGCTCCCTCCATGGGGCTGGTGCGGAGCGGGGGAGTCCAGGCTGAGCAGCCAAAACAGGGGGGGCAGGTTTGCTCCTCTCCGAGTGTTGTCTCTGCCCAGGGCTCCCTGGGACATTGCCAGGCTGTGGCTTGTAGATCCCCTGCAAAGGGCAACGCCAAAATGTCCCGGAGAAGTGCCCACTTCTGCTGACAGCAGCGCAGGAGCCGAGGCTGGGTCCTGCACCTCCGAGGGGGGGGTTTGGTATGAGCTTTCTGGGGCGAGTTATGCACCCCTGAAAGTGAGCCCCCTCCACTGTGACACCGGGTCCCTGCAGCTGTCAGCCTCAGCCCTGGGCAGTGCTGGTGGCATATTTGTCACCTCTCCTCAGCCCTTCTCCCCACAGCTCCATGCTGGGGCCTTGCAAAGGGGGCCTCAGCTGCTGTGTTCTCGTGCACCCACATCCCCACCTCAAACCAGAGGAACTGACAGGGATTTTCCCCTCCCTCCAAGGATTAAAACCCACCCAAATCAAGGCAGGTTTCTGCAAGGTTGGCTGGGGTAGTCTCCCTGCCCAGTCCCACAGCTGGGATGTTTCTCTTGAGGACAATAACACTGGTAAAAGCATCCAGTGCCTTCCCCTCTTTCTGACACCTTCCTGGCTTGGCTGGCCATTGAAAGCAAGGGCTTTGGCCAAGCTGTTGGATGATCACAAGAAAACCTCCATCTTGCCCACCAACCTGTTGCTGGAAGGGCTTTCATGGGGTCCAGTCCAGCTGAGCAGCCTGGCCTGGGGGTCTCCAGGCTGGATCTCAAACCCAGAATTGCCTGCCCGTGCTGTGAGCCAGAGCAGCAGCAAGGCAAGGGGATCTGCTGCTGCTGGAAATCCTCCCAGCTTTCGTTAGCTCTGTTTGGAGCCGTGTCCTTTCCCACCCCATTTCATGTGCCTGGAAGACACGTGAGTTCCCAGGCAGCTCCCACCACCATCTCCCAAGAGGCTGCTTTTCTCCATGCAGGGGCAAGGGGAAGACCTCAACCTGCAAAGTGGGATGGGGCGTCCCTGCTCCAGGGATGCTCCACATGTGTCAGACCTGGGTGATGTTCCCATAGGCCTGTCTGCAGCCACCCCAACCAGAGCTGATATGAGCTGAGTCAGGGCTGGCTGCAACCCCCCCTCCTCCCTCCTGCTTGCAGGAGCAGTGTTAAGGGAAGAAATTCAAAAGGCACTGAGGGGGAGAGCAGAGCCAGAGGCAGCCTGGAGCAGCACTGTGCCCTTCTCCATTGCCACTGGCCTTTGTGGGCTGAAAGCTGTTTATTTGCATCAAACCTGCAGGAAATGAGTTCTTCCAGGAGTTTCTGTCCTTGCTTGCATTTGTTAAAGGGGTTTGAGTGTGCCAAAGTGCTGGCACGATCATTGTTGCTGCAGGAAATGGTGTAACACAAGGCTTGTTGTTCTGCCTCCTCTGAGCCTCCCTGCCAGAGCGTAGGGGCTGGAAAGCTTTCCTGGACGGCATCATGTCCAGTGGGAATAGAGGCCTTGAGATGGGCTTATTTCGGAGCCAGGAGCTGCTGAGGCTGGAGGAGATGCTCCCAGCATGAGCAGCTGCCTTCGCCCCATCTCCCTGGGGCTGCTGCATGGTGACCCAGGCAGGCACCAGTGCAGTAACATGAGCTCCTGGGGGGAAACCCATCCACATGGGCCACTGACGCCTGGCCAGGAGGTGCTGCCTGGGCAGCCTCCATGGCAGGAGAACGGATGGCTGGTGGGACAGCACGCCTGCACTCTCCAGTGAGGTTTGTAGTGCTGCTTCAATTTCCCCAGGCTCATTCTGTCCTGCTAGCAGCACTCAGGGGAAGAGCAGAAAGCTGTCCCCAGGTCTCACAGTCCTGTCACGAACGCATAGGTCATGTCCTCTGTCCTCACGCTGCCACTCTGGGGTCTGGTGGGTGTCAGCTCCTGCTCTGCTTGGCTGGTTGCCTTATCCTATGTCTGCCTAGGAAGGAAGAGGTTAAAATGCCTGGATTTCCTGGCTCTGATGCTGGGAGGGAAGGTGACCTGCAGAATTGCTTTGCAAAGCACAGTTCTGGTGCTGGGAAACTCCTGGGTGAGACCAAACTTGAAACGCAGCTAGAATTCAGTCTTTCCAGCCCAAATTTAAGCCCAGGCTTAACCAAGTTGTTTTCCCCGCCCCCACACCTCCCCCCCCAGGGCAGCTTGGCTCATTCATGGCATCCTTCCCACTCCAGTGTCCCACTGCAGGGGTGGCTGCCACCTTTGGGGTGCTGCCAAGTGCCCAAGGTAACGTTGAGTGGCAAGAGGGCAAAGAGCGGTGGTTCAAAGGTAGGAGCACTCCATCACCCGGAGCCTTTCCGCCAGATCCTCCTTGGCAGTGCCGGATCCTCCTTGGCAGTGCCGTGTCTCCACCAGCTGCTTTGCTGGGGTGGGGGAGCCTTTCACAGCCCCAGGGCTTGGCGACAGCGACTGGAAAGGGCACAGCTTTGTTCTTCATGCTTGGGCTGCCAAGACAGAGGGTGGCACAGGCTGATGCTGGGGGGGGACGGTGCCGGGAGCAGGAGACAGATGTAAGGGGTGCTGGTCTCCTGGGACATGCCAGGGGCAGGGGGTTTTGGTGTGCCCAGGGGAAATGTGCTGCATCGCCCTTCCCGTGGGTTCCTTGGCGTTATGGGGCCATTCATATGGTGGTTTGACTTTTTTTGTTTCCTCACCCGGTGCTTCCTCCGTGCTAATCTGCCTCCACCTGCTCTGGGAGTGGCAGAGGTGGAGGCGAGGGAGAAAGTCTCTTCACTTCCAGTTGCTGAAGCCAGGCTGGCAGGACGGATCCAATCCTGCTGCCTCCTCCCTCAGGGCTGGTCTTGCTGGGTTTTGGGGCAGCTGAGGTTGGTTCCTAAAGCCAGGAGCCTCTTCCCAGCCCCCCAGCAAGGCCGAGGGTGAAGAGGAAGGAAGCGGTGTCTTTGCTCCAAAACAGCTTGCTCTGCTCTCGGCTGCTGCAGGTACACGCTGTATGGAGGAAGGCACTCACTGCCACCACAGCCCTCCCCATCCCCTCCCCTGACGTCACCCTGTCAGGGTGACACCGTGGCTCTCTGGGTACAGCATCCGGGGTGGTTCCGCCAGCCACTGCCAGAAAGGGCCCAGATTTTGATAGTACCATCACCCAACGGCAGCTGGGAAACCTGAGACAGCAGCTCTGGTACTGGGTGGGTTTTGGGATGGGGTCCAGGAGGGTCCCCTCCCTGCTGATCTCTGCCTTTCCTCTCCAGGCTTTCGGGTGACACGGGATGAGTGTGCCAGCTGATGAGCCGGGCAACGTGGCCCATGCCATGTTTGAAAGGTTCCTGCATGCAGGGGAGTGCCGGGAGGTGCTGGGCTGCTTTGGGGAGCTGTGCCAGCAGCTGGGGCTGCAGGGCAGTGGGCTGCAGCTCTACCACAGCCTCAAGGCTGCCCTCAACTACTGGAGTGCCAAGGCCCTGTGGAGCAAGCTGGATAAGAAAGCCGGGCACAAGGTCTACGACCAGGGCAAGGCCTGTGCCAGCACCAAGGTACCGAGGATATGGGGCGAGGGATTCGGGTCCCTCCCTGCTCTGTGTCCTTGTTCCCAGCGTCAGAGCATCCCTTGGGGCACTCTGCCCCTCACCCCAGGGGGATGCAGGATGTGCCAGGCAGAAGGTTGATGGGGTTTAATGGGACAGAATGTTAACTAGTGCTGCTCCACTTTGCGTGGTGTGATGCCACCTCGATGCCACCTAGCCAGCAGCGTCCTTCTTCCTCCCAGCTGCTCTTTGCTGAGGATGTCCCATGGGGGGGCTGCAAAGGGGCAGAGGGACCTGACAAGCCCTTTCTGGGAGACAGGAGCATGCTACAGTAGGATGTACCCCTGGGGCTGGGGTTCCCCTATCCCACAGCTGATGGCTTTTGTCCCCACTGCTGTGCCCCATCATCCCCTAGCCCTGTGCAGAGGCTGCCAGACCAAACCGGTGTCAGGGCTAGAGTAGACCTGCAACCTTATCTCACCCCGTGCTTTAATTGCTGCCATTGCCCTGGGCAAAGGCAAGGTTCAGGGAGTGGTGGGGGACACCTTACAGGGCCCCCTGGTTTGCAGGGAGAACCACTGCTTGCAGGTGAATAATAGGGAGGGCCAGATCCTGACCTGGGGAGCGGGGACATGCTGCCTGCGGGAGTGCTGAACTCCCTGGGGGTTCACCAAACCCCTGCTCTGGGGACTGCCCGCCCCCCTCACACTGCCCATCCCATCCCATCCCATCCCATCCCATCCCATCCCGTGGCAGTGCCTGGTGGTGGGAGCCGGTCCCTGTGGGCTGCGGGTGGCCATCGAGCTGGCGCTGCTGGGTGCCCGCGTGGTGCTGCTGGAGAAGAGGGACTCCTTCTCCCGCAACAACGTCCTGCACCTCTGGCCCTTCACCATCCATGACCTGCGGGCTCTGGGCGCCAAGAAGTTCTATGGGCGCTTCTGCACCGGCACGCTGGATCACATCAGTGAGTCTGAGGGGGACGAAGCTCTGCAACCCCACATCCCCTCCCGTGGGGAGCCCAGGGGTGCAGCCCTGAGTACCCCTCTCCCCTCCCAGGTATCCGGCAGCTCCAGCTGATCCTGCTGAAGGTGGCTTTGCTCCTGGGGGTGGAGGTGCACATCAATGTGAAGTTTGAGGGCCTTGTTCCCCCCACACGCAAGGCAGGTATGGTGTTGCTGCAGGGTCGGTGGTGTCCCTGGGGACAAGAACAGGGCTGCGTGTGGCCACTCTGAGCCCCCCAGTCCCTCTGCTAGCCTGGGGCATGCCTTTTGGGGGGAACAAGATGCAACCCTCTCCCTGCTCTCTGGAGCAGGTCCCAGCTGAGAACCAGCACACTTATGACCATTCCCCTCCCTGCAGGTGGCTGGCAGGCTGTGGTGCAGCCCAGTTCCTCTCCCCTCACCCACTACAAGTTTGACGTCCTCATCTCAGCTGGCGGTGGCAAATTTGTCCCTGAAGGTGACAACAGGGGTCCCTGCAACCTGTGGACCAAAAGAGGGACTGGATGGGGGCTCATACCTCTCCTCTCCTGCAGGGTTCAAGCGGAAGGAGACACGGGGGAAGCTGGCCATCGGCATCACCACCAACTTCATCAACCGCCACAGCCGGGCCGAGGTGGAGGTGGCTGAGATCAGCGGTGTGGCCCGAATCTACAACCAGAAGTTCTTCCAGAACCTCTACAACAAAACAGGTCGGTGGTCCCAGCCCCAGCACAGGTGGTGTTGGGAGTCCCTGTCACCTCCTGATGCAGCGGGAGGCTCAGCCCCAGGATGTCCCCTGTGATGGGATGCATGTCCCCACATAGTACCCCATCGCAGGGGCCGTTTGGTGGCTGAGCTCAGTGCAGGGGCTCCCTGTGGCCCTGGCTTAGCCCTTTCCCCATCACCAGGCATTGACCTGGAAAACATTGTATACTACAAGGACGACACTCACTATTTTGTCATGACGGCCAAGAAGCAGAGCCTGCTCAAGAAGGGAGTCATCCTCCAGGTAAGAAGGGCAGGGTCTGGCCCTGGGATCCCACAGTGATGGGCAACTGAAAGCCTGGAAGGTGGGATGCAAATCGTGGGTGCTGGTTTGATTGCATACCCCTGGAATAGGGGGATTTTTGGCAGCTGTTGCCTGTGCCACAAGAAAAATCCTTTCAGGGGGCTCAGAGCCCAGTGGCACAGCTGCACCCCAGATCTGAGTGCTCCCAGGCTGAGGGGCAAACACCACCTCCCACATTGCAGCCAGCTTCAACCCATCCCCACAGGACAAAGCAGACATCGAGAGCCTCCTGTCCCCAGAGAACGTGAACCGGGATGCCCTCCTCAGCTATGCCAAAGAAGCTGCCAACTTCTCCACCAACTACCACTTGCCTGAACTGGAGTTTGCCCTCAACCACCGGGACCTGCCGGATGTTGACATGTTTGACTTCACCTGCATGACGCGCTCGGAGAATGCGGCGCTGGTGCGGGATTACAACGGGGCTCGTCTGCTCCTGGGGCTGGTGGGCGACTGCTTGGTGGAGGTGAGGGTCCCCCCTGCAGCACCACCTCATGCCTCTTCCTGCAAGATGCACTGGTTGCAATATATTCCCCCTCCCTAAGTGTTTCTCGTCCCAACTGCCCAGTGCACCCCATCCCAGGCTCCCCAGGTCCCAGTAGTGGCATGCCTCGGTGAGGTTATCCCCTTCTCCAGCCCCACCAGAGATTTGGGGTTCGTTCAGGGTGGAGAAGCAGCCCAACTCCTCCCCAGACACATCTGTACTATCCGGAAGGAGAGAGCCACCCATCCTCTCTCTGCGCGTCCGCCGCCGCTCCCGCTTTCATCCCCAGCCAAGCCCGGCAGCTCTCAGCCTCCTCCCAGCTGCCCTGACCGGCCATGCCACTCCAACTCCAGCTCTGCCTTTCCCTTTGCAGCCCTTCTGGCCACTGGGCACTGGGGTGGCGAGGGGATTCCTCGCCGCCTTTGACGCAGCGTGGATGGTGCGGCGCTGGGCAGCTGGGACCCCCCCACTGGAGGTGCTGGCCGAGAGGTGAGTGTCCCCGTCCTGCTGGGCTGGTTCTGGAGTGGGCAAGGATGGTAGCAGTGACCCCAGCCCTTTCCCTTGCACCCAGGGAGAGCATCTACCAGCACCTCTCGCAGACCTCCCCAGACAACACCCACAAGAACATCAGTCAGTACAGCATCGACCCGGCCACACGCTACCCCAACATCAACCTGCAGGCCATCAAACCCAGCCAGGTACCCAGCCGGGTCCTGCCACAGGACAGCCAGCCAGCCCAGCCTCCCTGGCGGTCAGGGTGACACTAATTTGCACGGTTCCCTGTCCCCAAAGGGTGCAAGGCTGAAGCTGTTAGTTCCCAGGGCATTGAATACATTGTCCATTGTGGATGCAGGAGGGTTCTGGAGAGTTGTGGAGGGGTCCAGGTGTCTCCCTTGCCAGGACCAGCTCACCTGCATGGTGCCATTGGCTCTGTGCATGTGGTGACCTACCACTGGCATGTCCCCACTGGCAGGTCCGAGACCTCTACCTTGTGGGCACAGTGGAGGTGGACCACAAGAGGAAGAGTGACAACCGGCTCATCACCGGTAGGAGCAGCCAGTCCTGCCCTAGCCCCCTGCAGCAGCCCCCCCCATTCCTCCCTGAAGCCCATGCCCGAGTAGCTCCTGCCCTGATTTTCCTCCCCATCCTTGTTTCTTGTGCCCTGGCCTGTGTTCAGCTGTCTGTCTGCATTTCTGTCCCAGTGACACCTCTGGTTTCCCTCTGCTCATGTTCCATGTGGGGACACAGCCCCCCACTGCCTTCTGGGGAGGAGGCTGCCTCCCTCCTGGCCTGCACTGATGCTGAGCCATGAAATATTGACAGATGCTTTATGAACCCATTATTGAGCCTTGCAGGGGTGGTTGTGGGGGTAGCAAGGGGAGTCTCAGGTCACTCCCATTGGACCCCTCCCCTATTAAAGCAGTGATGCTGTGGTGGGAGGCAGACTGGGGGGTGTCCCCTGCCTCTGTAGGATGGAGACACATATGCTGCCTCCCCAGCAGCCTCTGGAGACTTCTATGAAGAGCTGCTGAGCTGGTGCCAGGCCAGCACAGCTGGGTACCGTGGCGTGGCAGTGACCAACTTCACCACCTCCTGGACCAGTGGCTTGGCCCTCTGTGCCCTCATCCACCGCTTCCGCCCTGATCTCGTGTGAGTGCCTGGGACCCCTCAGGACCTCCTCCCCTGCAGAGCCCACCCTGATGGCACCCGTGTCTCCCCCCAGGGACTTTGACTCTGTGGACAGCCAGGATGCCGTTCAGATCCACCAGATGATGCTGGACGTGGCAGAGCAGGAGCTGGGCATCCAGCCTGTCCTCTCCAGCCTTGAGATGGCCACCATGACAGAGCCTGACCGCCTGGGCCTCATCACCTACCTCAGCCAGTTTTATGAAGCTTTCAAGACCTCACCAGGTGTGAGATTTTGGAGATATTTGTCCCATCCTGAGTCCCACTGGGGCTGGCTGGCTGCTCCCCTCTGTAGAGTGGGTCCCACCAACATGGCCGTGTCCTTCTGTGCAGAGGTAGAGGAGGTCAGCAAGAAACCACTGTCTCCCCGTGGCACACGAGGGGCCATCCTCTTCCTCAGCAAGCTGCAGAAGAGCCGGAACCTGACACACAAACGCGCCCAGGTGAGGGACCCCCACCCAGATTCTCCTGACACACCAAAACCCTGTCCCCCTCCCCATCCTAGCCACTCCCATTGCATTTGCAGGACAGTGCCCAGAAGGATGCTGAGGCCAAGAGGAGCCGCAGGGACACCGAGGTGGGTCTGCCCCAGGCACCCCGAGGAGTGCTCTGCAGGGGTGCAGCTTTCCTGGGGGGAGAGTGGGGGGCTGACCCTCCCCCTCGGGTCGCTCGTAGCTGGACACGGGGCTGGATGGAGACACTCTGGACAGTGCCCATGAGCTGCTGCAAACCACCGTGACGGACCCAGAGCAGGTTGGTCCTCGTGTCACCCTGGGATGGGGGGTTCAGCTGTGTAGGTGGCACTGGGGGGGACACCAGTGGCTGGCAGGGCTGAGCCAAGGGCTGGGACCAGGGCTACGCAAGCCAACGCCCACGGGTTCCTGGCTCCTCCCTGCTTGTTTCCTGACCCAACTGGTTTTCCGGAGCCAAGACTTGCCTCTTCCTCACTGGTGCCAGCAAATCCAACCTGAGCACCCAGACCCGTCTCTGCAAGAGGGGCAAAACCCCCACTGCACACCCATGGCTGCCAGCACAGCCGCGGGGCAGGGAGGGTGCCAGGGCCCCGGTGCCACCCCAGCCTGTCCTCTCCCCCCACAGCTGCCGAGAGAGAGGACAGGGGAGAACAGCGATGCCTGCTACTTCTGTGGCAGCCATGTCTACATCCTGGAGCGAGCCAGCGCCGAGGGACGTTTCTTCCACCGTGGCTGCTTCCAGTGCCAGCAGTGTGGGGCCACCCTGCGCCTGGGCGACTACGCCTTTAACGAGGAGGATGGTGAGGCGGGTTCTGGGGAGAGGGGATGCTTGGGGCAGGACTTCTCCACCTTGCAGGTCATCACATGAATTTGCCCCCCAGGTAATTTTTACTGCTCACTTCACTACCCCAATCTACCTGGCATGGACCTATCCCGGCACGAGGCCCCAGCACTGCCTGATTTAGGGGTAAGTCACCCTAAATTGCCTAGGTGATGGAGGAAAGACAGTATGTGGAGGGGGATGCTTGAGCATGGCCCCATGCTGCATCACTCCTCTGCTCTGGCTCTGCCCTAGGATGCTGATGCTGCCACTGACCCACCCTTGGATGCTGGGAGCCCATGTGTGCCCCCCAAGGAGGGGGCGCCTGGTCCCCTACAGCCCACTCCAGCAGCTCCACAGCAAGGGGAAGAGCCTGGCACAGTGGAGGATGCTGTGGATGCTGGTGATGTGGAGGAGCAGGAGCTGCTGGCACAGCCCAGGGAGGATGCAAGGGAGGAGGAGGGTCCTCCCACAGAACCGCAGGGGGTGGCAGAGGAGGGTGAGGAGAGTGGGGGCAGGAGGAAGATCATCCTTACACCACTGGAGAAGCTCAGTCTGTCCACCCTGAATCTCACCAGCGAAGCAGAGCCTGATCCTCCACTGAAGCCAGCTCGTCTGTGGCTCCAAGCAGTGCCTGAGGCCCTCCCTGCCCCGTGGCAGGGTCAAGACTGCTGGAAGGAGGAGGAGGAACTTGACATGCAGAAAAGTAGGTGGTAGAAGCTGGAGTCTCTGGATGAGCAAAGCTCTCAGTCCCTTCAGGACCCTGCTGTAACCTGCTGTGCCCCACATCTTGCTCATGAGGCACCAGCCTGAAAGGGCTCTTCTCTTGGGGCAGCTTTGGAGGAGAGTGACAGCGAGGAAGAGGAGGAGAAGGAGAAAGAGGAGGAAGGCACAGACCTTGGCATCATGGCAGAGTTGGTGAGGATTTTTCCAGAGTGGCAGTGGCCCCACCAGCACAGGTGGTAGCTGGGGCTCTTGCTGGCATCTCCTCTCACAGAGGCATCAGGTCTGGCTCAGCCACGGCTGCCGAGGCAGGAGGTGCCCGGTGCAGGGACTGACCCCCCTCTGCCCATGCCACCATCTCTTCACAGTGCCTGAACCTGGGCAAAGAGGATGTGCACCCCACCTGTGAGCACACACTGTCCCGCCGGGCCAGGGAAGCCCACATGAAGCGGTTCTGCAAAGCCCAGGTAACCCCCACAGGGGAGAGCTGCGGTCCCCTGGCCCCTCCATCCGGCTCCTGGTGGCCTTGTGACGGCAGGTGCCAGCCCACAGGTGAGTGCTGCTCTTCCCTCGCAGGCCATCCAGAGACGGCTGGAGGAGATCGAGGTGACATTCCGGGAACTGGAGCAGGAAGGCATCAAACTGGAGAAGTTACTCCGGGATGAGAATGGTAAGACCAAGGTAGATGGAGCACTGTGTCCCCCTCTGTGATGGGGGTTTGCACCCCACTCACCATCCCTGTCCTGCAGGCAGCCCAGCTGACCAGCAGACACAGTGGACAAACCAGCTGCTGTACTTGGTCCAGAAGAAGAACAGTCTGATGATTGAGGAGTCGGACCTCATGATTGCGTAAGGCTCGGGGGATGCTCTCCGGTCAGTGTGGGGCCTCAGCTCATCCCAGCCCCTCTCGAACCCAGCACTTAGCACACTCCTTCCCTCCCCACAGGGTGCAGGAACTGAAGCTGGAGGAGCAGCAGTGGCAGCTTGATAAGAAGCTCCGGAGTTACATGAACAGGGAGGGTGAGTGCCAGTACTTGCCATGGGAGGGGGGTCCCTGTGCATGGTGTGGGGAGCAGGCCAGGGCTGTGGCCCACCCAGCCCTACTCTGGCCCCTTGCACCCACAGAAACCCTAAAGACACCTGAGGATTGCAGGGCTGAGCAGGAGACTCTGGCGCAGCTGTTGAAGGTGGTGAATGAGCGCAACCTCCTCATCCACATCCAGGAGGAGAAGCGGCTCAGTGAGCTGCGGGCCTGACCCGCACAGCCCCTGACCCACCAGATCCTCCCTGGGGGGACAAGCAGTGTGTGTGTGTGTCTCCTGGTACAAGCATCACTCTGAGCTGCCTCTGTGATGGTCGTGATGCCTGAGCTGCTTGCAAGCACCAGCAGCTGCCATGGCGAATCCAGCTCCCTGCTTGCCAAAGCCTGTCACGGAGGGGCCAGACCTGCTGGTGGATGCCCACATGGAGAGACACTGAGAAGCACCCAGCTTTGGGGTGCAAAGAGGGCGTTCTCGCATGTGGCTGGATTGCCTTTGCCTTGTGCTTGCTTGAAAATAAGATTTGCAGGGGGCTCCAGGGGTGCCCAGCAGCAAGGAGGTGACTGTGGCCACCACAGGCAGGTCACAGGGGAGATGTCAAATGTGCAGGGGCAGCATCAGGACGGGTCCCTGGAAGCTACCCTGGGACATCCCTTCCAGCTGAGGGCATCCATCCCAGCCTGGACTGTCCATCTCTTCAAGGGACACTTGGCTGTACAAGTGGGGGCCAGTGACAGATTGGGCTGATCCTGCCACTCTGCATAGCTGCTTTTGCAAGCCATGTCCATGCTGTCCCCAGCTGCTGCAGGAAACCAGGATCACAACCCCACCATGAGCCCCTTGGGGCAGGGAAGGGCATTTTGTCCAGATTGTGCCCAGGGCCTTCACTCTGTGATACCAAAGACAAGGGATGCCAGTGGCCATGTCCTCCTTGCCCCTTTCGGGTTTCTCCTGCTTGGCAATGCCACAATGGCCTTTGCACAGACCTCAGACGCCCCTAGAGTCTCCAGGTGTTGCAGGGTGAATGGAACTTGCAGCAGCCCCAGACATGTTGGGGACGGGGGTCCCAGGCATGGGTTCTCAGCAATACCACCCTGTGTTCAGCCCTTATCCTGCCATTCCCCTCAGTGTCTCCTCCGGCCCTCCCTTGTGTTTGTACCAGCCCTACCATCCTGTTGCAACCCCCCTCCTTTCCTAATAAAGCCCCCCTGACCCGGCACCAAGGGCTAAAATACTGCCTTTATTTTCTATCTGAGTAAAATCTGGTTGTTAGAGCAGTTGCCAGCGTTCCACCCCAGGCATGGGGAGCCTGAGTCTTTCAAGCCTCCCAGCCAGGCCAGCAGGTTCCTCCAGGTACAAAGGGTGTATTTAAAAAGCAATAAAACCCCACGTCCATCGTAGTTCCCACAAGGGCCAGTGCAATCTACCCCCAATATCTTAATTTCTCTCAGAGGCAAATGTCAAACCTGCACTACTGCATTGGCCGCACTGCTGCCAGAAGCCAGCTAAAAAAAGGATCAAAAAGGGACACAGTGGGGCTGGAGGGGTATTGTGGGACACCCACAGCCTCGGTTCAGCCGTCACTGGGACATTCCTGCAGCGTCCGCAGCACCATCCGCATCTGCTCCTCGGTGCTGTGCAGCATCTTCACCTCCATGGTGTGAAACAGGTGGAGACCAGCGGCAAGAAGGAGGATGCCGACGGCAAGGAAGGCCAGCAGGCAGAAGGAGAGCTTGGGGAAGGGCTGCCCGGCGTCCAGCCCTGTCAGCGCACCCAGTGCAGCCACGGCCTGCAGCAGCAGCAGCAGCAGGGCCAGCAGGGCCATCCTGCCCGAGGAGTAGCGCTGCCGCTGTGCTGCCCGCAGCCCCACGGCCACCTCTGTCCGTGCCTCTGTCACCACATCTACCAGCATGGGCTCTGCAGGGACAAGGGGCCTCAACAGGGTGGGACCCCTCTCTACCACTCCTATACCCCCCCTTTTTCGCATCCCCACACCCTGCCCTGTTCCATGCACCACTCCACACCCCAAATGATGTCCTACGCAAAGGGAAACGTCCCCAGAAAACTCCATCCAACTCCATCAGTCCATCCACCAGCCCTCCCAGCACATGGTGGACGCTGGCAGCAGCCCCCCAACTTACCAGCAGTGGTGAGGGTGGCACCCGCAGTCTGTCCCTGCCGCTGGATGTGCAGTGTTGCCATCACAGCTTCATGGTCTGAGAAGGGGACGTCCATGCCCGGAGCTGCCCCTGTGGTGGTCTTCAGCTCTTCACACTTTACCATGAAGCTGGAGATGGCCTGGGTGAGGGTGCAAGGGGGTCACACCAGTTCTTCAGCCTTGCTACTCACAGCTGGTGGCGAAGGGTCCCCCGTTACCTTGTAGAGGATGTAATCGATGCGGATGCCCAGTGGGAAGGGCAGCAGCTCTGATTTGTCAGTGAAGCAGTTGTTGGGGACAAGGGTACAGCCATCCTCACAGCCCTGAGACAAGCGCTTTGGTTGGTGGGGTCCTCTTGGTTTGCCCTGGGACCCCACTCAGCCCTTGCCGCTCACCTCAAAGTGTGTGGCCTCAGCAAAGGCATCCCGCAGCCCCGTCCAGCCACGCAGCAGCCGGATGCCCACATCTTCGGGGTGCATGTTCAGGTCCCCTCCCAGCAGCACCACATCAGCCGCCTTGGAGGTGTGTCTGCAGGGGAAAGGATGGCTAACCTCCCATTCCTGCGCTGCCCTGCACCAGACTGCAGTGATTGGGACCCACCCAGTGCTTCTCAGCCTTACTCCTGACTGGGACTGGTGCAGCTGGGAGCTCTCTGCAATGCAAGACCCAGGGGCAGGGGTGACTGCACATATCCTGGGGACCTGCAATGGGGGACCGTGTGCGGCACCCCTTGGCTGCTCACCGGATGAACTGTGCCAGCTCCCAGGCCTGCACCAGGCGGTGGGGCAGGTAGGCGTCCTTCTCCCGGCAGTACTCGGCGTGCAGCTGGTGAGAGCAGGGGAGCAAAGAGGCTGACTCCCATGCCAACACCCGCCTTGCTCCCAGGCTCCCTGCAAACCTACCCAACCTCTCTAGATGGTTCCCCTAGGGTCTGGCCAACACCTCTGCCTTTATCTCATCCCCCTGGGGACAGCCTGGGATGCTCACCCCACTGCACAGCCAGATTGTGCGTCCCTGCCCCCTCTCCCTGAGCAATATTTTATTAAATCAGTGCATAGTCCAGGACAGAGGGTGAAGAGCAGGGGTTAAAGCAAGTGGACAGCAAAGAAGTGGCACGGCCACTCATCCCCCTCCTTCCCATTGTCCCCCCCCATGCTGGGTCCTTCCCTGGGATGCTCACGTGGGTGACATAGATGTTGAAGATGATCCCTGAGATCCTAATGATGACAAGGCCGACGGATTTGCCGCAAAACCAGTCCCCATGTTGGAGCTGCCAGAGGGGAAGAAGAGCAGATTGGGGCCACTGAGGCTCCGTGGGGATGGACACAATGGTGCCATATGCCTCCTGCCCCACTTACCATGTAGGGGTACCCATTCAGTGAGTACTGGTAGAGGAGCGTGTCCAGAATGGGGAACCTGGAGAAGACGCAGAGGCCGCTGCCGATCACCCCACTGCAGGAGGAGAAAAGCACAGTGAGGAAGTGTGGTCCCAAAAACCTCTGCCTCCCTCCAGCCCCGAGTCAGGAGGGATGCCTGAGTCCTAGTGTGCTCCCGTGAGCATCCCACTCTCCATACATGGGGTCTCCCACAGTGACAGAGGTGACCTACAGCACCTGCACCAGTCTCTACATGTGTCAAACATAGGACATGGCACAGCCCTGCCCACTGCCCCACAGACAGCCCTGGGGGGCTGGCCTTGTCCTTCTCACCTGCGGAAGTAATGAGAGAAGGGGTAACAGCCTCCTAGTTTCACCTTCAGGTCACTGTAGTCCCGTTCACTCCACACCTGGAGAACAGTAGGATGGGCTGAGAACAGTCACGCTCACATCCCACGCTGGGAATGGGCACACTCGGCTCAGAAACCGCCCTCACCTCCTGAAGAAGCACCAGATCAAAGCTCTCCTGGCGCAGCATGTCCCCGAGGAGCTGGATGCGCTCCTGCCGCCGTTTGCTTAGGTAGCGAATGGCCCTGCCAGAGAGGGGTGACAGTCACAGCCTGGCAGGGACGGGGTGATGGGGCTGTCGGGGCACACTGCCACCCGAAATGGGGGAGAGAGGGCTCCAGTACCAGTATAAGCAGGATGCAAATGGGAAAGGGCTATGCGAGGCCATTCGGACAAGAGGGATAATGCAGGGAGGCTGTTTGGGGACAGCTTCTCCTACCTGCAGATCTGAGGCAGCTCATCCTTGCTTGGGGTGCAAATGGGGGACCTTTCCTGGGGTTAACAGGCACAGAGGGGACTGGAGGCACTACCCAGGCAAGCACCTCATGACCCTCTGGGGCTAGGAGAGGGGACACAAAAATAACTCCAAAGTGGGACCCCTCTCCCAGTGTGGTGTCCCCGTCCCCACCCATGCAGCCCGGCACAGCCCTGGTGAACACTGGACTCACCAGCAGTTGAGGTCAAAGACACGAAGGCGCAGGGCGGGATCGCCCTCCATCGCTTGCTGGATCTTGCGGGGGCCAGAGGGCAACGCTGGGCAGGGGGGGTCCCGCAGGGAGCAGACTTGGGGGACAGCCCCGGGGAGCCGGCGGAGGGCGCAGGACAGAGCCAGGGATCCGGGCTGGCGTGGCGGAAAGGCTGAGCCAAGGCAAAGGCCAGGAAGGAGGAGTGCTCAGGGTGCTCCAGCCTACCCTGGGCCTGACCCCTCCTCTCCTGTGCACAAGGACCATCCCGAACCCCAACTTGCCCCCACAAAGGGATCCATGTGACCCTCCATCCAGTGAGTTTGGACACCGGTGGGCCAGGGATGGGGTACAGGGCTCAACCCTCTGTCTGTCAGTGAGTTGTGTTCCAGGATGGACTTTCACCCTGGTTTCAAAACGGAGATGCGAAGCACGGGCATGGGACAACCCCACACACCTCCCCACTCGGGAATCCCGTGCATCCTTTTGGAGGCTCCAAACCGCGGAGGAGCCAGAAGCTCCCTAAGCAGCTCCAGCGCTCTCCCAGCCCCAGCGCTCTCCCAGCCCCCGCTTCTCTCACGCCTGACCCCGTAAGATTATCCAGTTTCCGGTTTAGAACCGAAAAAGAGAAACCCTGGGGCTCCAGGATGCCGGTAGCAGGCGGCCGGGTGAGGGAGCCGAGCTCTGCCTGCTCCGGCGGCGTTACCGAGCTGCTCGTCCCGTTCCTGCGCGGTTCTAATACCGGCGTCTCCTGCCAAGGCTGAGCCCTCCGAGGCGCTCTCCGCTCCAGCTCCCGAGGGACGGGCGGGCGGCAGCGGCGGGACACGGAGCGGGACACGGAGCGGGACGGGGGAGCGGCAACACGCGGAGCGGGACAACAGGAGGAGCGGGACAACAGGAGGAACGGGACAACAGGAGGAGCGGGACAGCTGGAGGAGCGGGACAACAGGCGGAACGGGGCAACAGGCGGAACGGGGCAACCAGCCGAGCGGGGACGGGACCGGAGCAACAGGAGGAACGGGAGGCGGAGCGACCGGCGGGGCCGAGAGCGGACCTGGAGCGGGGCTGCGGGGACTACGCGTCCCGGCAGGCACCGGAGCGGAGCGGAAAGGGAAGGGGAAGGGCTGGGGCCGTGCGGATGGATGGGGCTGGGCCGGGTGTGTGGGGCCGGGGTCGGTGAAGGGGCCGGGGTCGGGGTCGGGGTCGGTGGGTGTAACGGGGGGCGCTGGGGGTGCACGAGGGGTACGCGCGTCTCGCAGAACGGGGGAAGGCAGCTGGTGTTAAAACACGTAATCTCTGTCCCCTGTGCTTGGAACCGAGCGTGTGTCCCGAACAGCCGAGGCACTTCCAGGGGTGTTGCTGCCTGGTGGGACAGACCAGCCTTCTGCCGCTTGCTGCTGGCGTGGGCGAGAATGCGACCCCCTAAAACGTGTCCCTGAACCCAGCGATGCTGCCGGGAATTGCAGGGAAGCGTCTTCCATGGGGTTGGACGACCTTTCCCAAGCAAACCCCGCACCAGTGATTCAAATCAGAGCAAAATACAGCTGGATGTGGCATCCTGTGCCGGGAGAGGGGGTCTCGGGAGAAACGTTACCCAGCCAGGGGGTTTCATGGGACAGAGCAGCTTTCATAGTCCTGGTTGTTGAAGAAAACCCCAAGAAATAAAATATGAACTTCAGAAGCACTTGAGCCAACCCATGAACAAATAATTTTAATATTTTTTTAGCAGACTGTAGTTTTTTCGGAGCTCCACAGTCTCCTCTCTTTGAAGTTGGACAGATACAGTAAACACAACAAATATATGATACAACCCATCACAGCTGGATTAAAAAAATACACAAAAAATATAATACATAAAAAATTGGATTTTTAACATTGTGGACTGACACAGCTCTAAAAATGGTGATTGTAACCCTGGTAAGCTTTACAAAGTCTTTAAAAAAATAAAACAGTACTTCATGTGAAATTCATAAATACACTGGAGGAGAACAGAGGGGCTGAGGGGCAGGGGAGTTGAGAAAGTGTCTCTGGGATCCTGGCTAAACCCCGGCCAGGGCTGCTGGGGGCACCAGTCAGAGTGTGCCTGGGGTGTGGGTGCACGCCCTGGGGCTCAGTGCAGGTGGGATGGAGGGATGCAGGGATGGAGGGAGGGGTGGAGGCACAAACCAGTCCAGTTAATGAAGAGCTTTGTCCCCGGTTGGGGCTGGGAGTGGGGCACACCTGTGTTTTATGGTGGGGGAGTTTTGAGTTTTCATTCCCAGAGTTTTAGATCAGTGAGTGAAACGGAAGAAGAAAAAAAAACAACAACAAAACAACAAACAAACATGCTACATATGAGAACTCAGCCAGGCAGCCCTGGCACAGCACTGGGATAGGATGCCAGTGCCTTGCCTTGGATTTTTCCCTCTCTCTTTCCACCCTGCTCCATCTTGCCCTGTTCACTGCAGCTGCCTAAGTCCAGTCCCACCACTGAGCCCTCAGCTGGGCGTGGGGCCAGGATGGCTCTGCCCTGTCCCACAGGGATGGGTGTCTTCTCCCAGCAGCAAGAGGTCAAAGTCCCCCTGCCTCACCAGACACATGGCATCAGAGTGGCAGCCAAGGCACTTTCCTGGGCTCTGAGGCTGTTCCTGCTCCTTTGCACCTGGCAGCATTGAGCCTAAACCTGCCCTGTCTCCCCATCCTGGGCTTTAGCCCCCCTCAAACCACTCCTGCCCCCCTGCAGCACTGGTCTCTGCATTTCCTGCCACCTTCACTCCCCTGCCAACACAAGAAACCCGTCCAGACCTGGCCACCTCGGGCTCCCTGTCCCCCTGCCAGCCTCCTGCCACCTTGCTCCATGCCACCTTGTCTCTCTGTGCCCCTCCTGCACCCCAGGGATGCTCTTCCCAGCCTCTGTCCTTGCAGTCACAGCCTCAGAACTGGGCACGCTGCATTGGCTTACTTTGGGCTGCAGCCACAAAAATACCTCCAAGCAGACCCAGTCCCTTATCCTGGCATCCTTCCTGTTCTCTGTCCCCTCTCTGTCTCTGTCCTCTCTGTCCTAAACCCTGCCCACTGACAGCCTGGCCCTGCGTTGCTCAATATGCTTTTCCCTGCACGAGCCACGTCTCTGGCCACTTCCCACAGGATGCAGGCAAGTGAACAGAGCAATCCAGAACAGTCAACACAGAAAAGGCAAAAAAAGGTGAAGAAAAAAGAACCGAAACAAGGAAAATGTACATATGCAAAGTAAATCAGGCAAACCTGACCTCACTGCTCTCTACTCATGACTCCTCAGCAAGTGACCACAGCGGGGACATTGAGCCTGGGCCACCCCCAAGGGCTATCCTTGAAAGCGCACACAGAGCTCAGGGGATCCCACACAAAAAACAGCCAGAGATGAAAACATCCTGAGCCTTCCCTACACAAGCCACTCCCTGTGCCTGATAGTTCTGCTGTTGCCTCCAACCCAGCCAACTCTGCTGTCACCTCTGCTGGTCACCAGCATGGCACAGGGCAGAGGCCCAGGCACTGCAGAGGGTCATCATCCCGATTACAAGCACGGTGTCCTTTTAAAATGTATTAAAAAAGCACTTTAACTTAAAAAAAGGAAAAGAAAAAAAAAAGAGCCATAAAAAACCATGGTTTGCATTGTCAATGCCCTCATGCCTTCACTGCCACTGGCTCCCAGTGCCCCAACTGCGCACAGAGAAGCCTCCCAGCTGCCAGTCCCAGGGAGGCAGCAATGTCCCCCTGCTCCACTCTGCTCTGCCCTGCTCCTGCCTTGCACATCCATCCCCAGGTCCCCACTGCCACCTGGGCTCTGCCAAGCTGTGCCAATGATGCTGCTGCTGCCATGCCAATCAGTTTTGGACCCGACCCGGTGCAATGCCCCTCCCAGCCCATCTGTGCTCACTCCTCTCCACTCAGGACCAGGACCACTTCTGAGTGAGGGTGGGGGTGAAAGAAAGGGTCGTTCTCTGCTTCGACATCCCGCTGGTGACGGCACGGTGGGATCCTGGCCTTTATCAGCAACACCGAGGACTGGTCTCTCCTCATCCAGCACCGGATGTGGGTTTCCTTTCTCCCTATGTTTCTTTTCCCATTCTTTGTTTTTTTGGTTTTTTTTTCATTTATTAAAAAAAAAAAAACAAACTGTTCCTAAGTAGAAAACATCTGCAATCACAAGTCAGTCTTTTTTGGCTATTGTTGTTCTTCCTCCTCCTCCTCTCTTCAAATGACTTCTCACAAGGCAACAGGCACGGGCGGCTACTCTGCATGGCCCCCTCCCTCCCCTGCACACCCCTTGTGCCCCTGCCTGTCCCCGAGTGCCCCTAGTCCTTGACCAACTTGTACACATGGTGCTGGGCGCCGTGCTCGCTGGTGGAGACCTCGAAAACAAAGGCAATGCAGAGCAAGGTTTCCTGGGTATCCCTGTTCGTAACAACCTGTAGCAGAGCAGAGTGTGTTAGGGGACTGCTGTGGGCAGATGCAGTTATTCAGGGGGTTGCATGGGCACAGCCACTTTGCATCATGAAAAATTTGTTACCCATTATTTGTAGGGTTGCACAGGCACTGGCATAGTCAATTTAATTGCACCGTCAATATTTACTACCCAATTTTGGGGGGAGGGGGAGGAGGGGACAGGCTCAGGAACAACCTGAATTGCACCACCAAAAATTTGCTACCTGTTGTTTGGGGGAGGGTTGCCTGGGCTCAGGCATAGCCACTGCATTTGCACCACAAAAAATTGCTACCCATTATTTGGGGAAGGCAAACAGGCTCAGGCACAGCCTATTTAACTGCACTGTGAAAAATTTGCTTCCCATTATCTGGGAGACTTGTCCAGGCTCAGGCATAGCCACTTTGTTTGCACCATCAAGATCTGCTCCCTGGAATTCAGGGGCTGTGTGGGCTCAGACACAGCCAGGAGTACCTGAGCTGCTGGAGCGCACGCCCAGGGCCAGTAGGGCCAATGCAAGTGCGGGCTCCACACTTCCAGTGGGAAACATTCCCTGGAAAAGGAGTGGAGGTACCTGCAGGATGGTGAAATTCTCCAGGACACTGTTCATCATGTACTTCTCTGGGAGGTGCTTGAGTTTGTGGATGAAGTTGATCATATACTCGCACATGGGAGACCGGTGGATGCGGTAGATGAACCGTCCGTTCTCCAGACGTGCATACTCCGTCTGCAGGGGACAGCCAGAGTGAGCAGCTGTCACATGGGACGGAGGCATGGGCAAGTGGTGGCCAGCTGGGACATAGTGATGTCCTCTCCACTCCGCCCATGGACAGGTATGAAGCCACACGTCCTACACCCAGCTCTGGGGCTTTCTCCATCCCAGGACCCTCTGTGGACCAATTCCTACCCCTTCCCGATGCAGCAGGGCATGGAACTCACCTCCACTTTTTCCACGACCTGCTTCCCAAAAGAGCACACCTTGGTGGATACTGTGATAGTCATGTTCTCTGTGCTGCTGTACTGGCTGCTGACACCATAGAAGGTCCCCGGCCCGTCCTGGATCGTGCTGTTCAGATCAGCCTGGAGAGATGAGGGGAGAGAGGGTCCCATTAGGCACCACCACACCCAGCTCTCGATGGGGACAGCAG